GACTTCCGGGATGTCTTTCCATCAATGTGGAGTTTGATGTTGAAGGGGCATTTCTTTTTCTGGTTCGGGGGAATGACACGTGGCACAGACTTGGCCGGGGAGCCCGTTCTCCTCGCCTCCTCCACCACCACCTCTATGCCTCTTTTCAGCGTTTCTTCGATGTGGCTGTCACTTCCCTGGTTAATCCAGAGGGTCATGTCGTCTGCTTAGAGCCTGTGGTGGAGGTGTGGGATCTGTGCTAGTTTCTTGGGGATGTTTATGATTACCATCTATATTGAAGAGTAAAGGCGAGAGAATGGCTTTTTTCCGAGCGCCTCGACTGCCTAGTGAGAACGTGTCCGAGACAATGCTGTCTAGATGTATGGCGGCTGTCCGGTTTGATAAGTTCCTAATATGTAAGTGTAGGTTTTCTCGCCTGGATTGACTGATCCCAGACCCAACATTATTGCCCCATGTGCGACATTGCCAAAGGCTTTAGTCGTGCAGGTCGAGGGTCATCATCACCGCCCTGTCTAGGCCGCTGGGGGGTTTGATGATTTTTTCCTAGAGTTGTAGGAGTATGCAGGGGAGGGTACACGCTGCAGAACCCAGGGTTCAAACCCCACCCTTGCCCGTTTCCATCTGGATAAGCATCATACCGGCCTGTGGTCGTGTCTCACTACTGTGTGGTGCATATTTTAAACGGACACTGACAACACCAAAACATTTTTTTCATTTTTTTGCCAGCTAATTTACAATGGTGTGAGAAGACTACCCAATCAACATTTTGCTACAAATGCTGTAGCAAAATGCAACATACATTTTAATAAAGTAAAAAAATATAACTGCTCGATACCAAAACCAGGGAGGAGGAAGAAATATAGAGGAGTTGCTAAAAGTCACGTGACTGTGCTTTTTTTTTTTTTCAATTAACATATTTGGAGTTTTCTGAAAGCCACAAAAAATGGGTATCATATATTTATTATATTTTTAATACTAAATGTGTGCCTTCAATGAACCACAACTTTGATTATATTTAGTGGTTGTGCCTACACCACAAAAAACGGCATGTGACGTAAAGAAACGAGTGAGCGCGACTCAAATCAGTCAGTTTTTGATCAGCAGTTTTCAGGTGGAAAGAAAATAAATTTTGAGCCGCAAATTTTGTTCTAGGTAGTTGGGCTCTCATATGACATGTACAAATAGAAACCTTGGCGAGCATAAATACCCAGCCAGTGACCCTTTAAAGACCCCAAGCTAGCAGCAGTGCTGCACTGGCTACATTTCCCGTCTGCAGCAGAGACAGCAAACGCCCATTTGAGCCGACTTAGCATTTCCCCCATATACACATAACACAATCACTTTAGGGGAGGGCAAGACCAGACCAAAAGTCTTCCCCTTTCACAGACATTGTGCGAGCTTGTTTGTTCAGCAATTGCAGAACAGAGGTAGTGGCAGCATGTTAGCCCAAGCTTCATGTAAAAAGTATTTACACAAACCTGTAACTGTTACTAATTATAAAAAGTCTTTCAGCATGCTGACCGAGTCAAAAAGCAGTCTACTTTAGGGGTGTCGCGAACTTTTGTCGAACCGGATTTATAGGTCGAACTTTCGGGGTTCGACGAACCTTCGAAACTTTTCACTAAATTCGACCGGTTCGACTTTGCGGACAGTGTGGCCAGACTTGATACACGCATGTCTAGACATTTCGACAAAAACCCCGAGACTGGGACAAAAAGGGACGGACAAACACAAAGTCTCACAAAGTTTAACCACCACCAGCTCGTTTGCGCCCTTACCTTTTGTTCGCATGTCTAGGTTTGGAGAATTTATTTTTATGCAAAGGGTTATTTTATTTTATGAACAGTTGCAATTAAAAGAAACCAATTCTAATCTCTGAAGATGTTAATAATTTAATTTTTTTGTACTGTATTAACTGAAATAACCAATCTGCGGTGCCCTTAATTCATCCCTTAGCCATTACCATCCAATCCGAAGCCAACTGGCCAGCCTGTCGCGCATGCGCACACGAGTTGAACCTCAATAGAAGGTTCGTCGAAATTTCTACGAAAACTTCGAAAAAGTCGAACCTGGTCGAACTCGAACCTCGGCCGGTTCGCGACACCCCTAGTCTACTTGCAGTTTAGTTTCCTTTTTAATTGGTGCCACCATTCGAGCCCCACATTAAGTTGCAAAGCGGTTCACTAGCAGAAAGAATAAACAATATTTGCCCTCCAACCTTACCTCCGATATATTGACAAAGCCTGGCAGATCGCCACAAGACACGGCCGCCGACAGTGAAAGGGTAGAGCGGCAGACAAGAGGCACGTAACGGGCGCCCCGCTGTGGCGAGACGCCGAAGCACACTTCCCTCGAGCGATGGAATGTCCGCTCGTACTCTTCCCGTTCCTCGGGCTACCGCTTCTTTTCTCGTCGGGTTTGAAAACCAAGTTTTGGGTCCTCGCCGCTGGAAAAACTGTGCGCCGACTACGGGCTCCTTGAAAAATGCTCTGTGCTACCAGACCCTCGTGCTCCAAATCTGCGACCGAGCACTCTATGGCTTTGTTGTCGAACTGCCAGGCTTTGAGAGTATAGAGGAGGCTATGCTCCAACTTATAGATTGTAGCGACTTGGCTTACCTCAATGAAAGGCATGAATCGTGCAATAATACTGAGGCACGTCGCAGTACGACTCCCATTAATTCCCTAGAAGCTATAAATTCTTAATCAGTTCCGATACATTCACCGGGAGTTGGCAGCTTTTCTTGAATGTTGGCTTCACCAACTCTACCATCCATTCCACTATTATTTATTGGGCTTGAGACAGTCTCTTTATTTTTTGCACGCTTCTTTCCACAAAATTAATAGAACCGAGAATATGTCAAGAAAAGAATGTGGTTATCAGCTGCATTCATTTACTTGAAGGCCACAGTGAAGATAAAGCCGTTTGGAGCATGCAAAGCAACTTGAGTATTGCAAGATAAATCTTTGCATGCATACATGTCAGAAAATGGGAGCAATTAAAACCAGCTAGTACTTCGAGGCTAATGCTGTTGTTTCTTCACATTAATATGACACAATGCGTTGGAGATATTTAACGTAAAAGTTTGCTCGCCAGCCCGTGTTCAGGAGACCCAAGGTACTAAGTACTCGGCGTCAACTATTTCGTGCCCCATCGTCAATGACAGCATAGCACCTACAGGCATGGAGAATAGAAGGGTAGGAGAGGGCATGACGTCGGCCGCGTAGCCTCCACAAGCCATGCTCCCTTGACGCCTCGCCTCTTTCTCATTTTCCTCCTTACCCTCCTCACTTACCATGCCAACGTGACCACATCACGTGACCGTAGCTAGACTTCGTCTTGCTGTGGGGTACTAGAATACACCACAGTCTAGACTTCGACCCGATAAAACCTACCCGACGGAGCGCGCGCAAGCATGCAAGGAGTCCTTCTGCAATCAACCATCCATCTCACACGTGACATGTCACGCGCACCAATCGCCAGAGAGATCTGCGGTCACGCTGGGCACAAAATCATTTAAACTTTTTATGACTAGGCTTCACCAATATTGCAACGTGCCCCCTCCTAGTACTTCTAACCTCCTTGCCTACAGGCCTCCTTCACCTACAGGGCTGCAGTCCCGCACTGCTGTGATAGGATGAGGCTTTATATTGCATCTTATTTGCATGCACTCGCACAACTACATTTGACAGAGCACTGTGGAAGCTACGCTACCCTTGACAAAGTAGCAAAAAAATAGTTTACACCGAGCGTAGTAAGTTACTACAAGACGAAGACAATAGGAATCGTGCAGACCTAATTCAAGCCCCGACCAAAGCACCCCTAGCGGCAAATGGGTCCGTTACAGCGAGGAGCTTCTGCCAGTCGCTGCGTTGGTTGTGCATTGTAGCGGGTTAGCACTGAAATTTCTGAGATGGCTATTTCGCACCAAGAAAGCCACAACAATTGCTGCGTGGTCGGCTGCAACAGTAAGTACAAGGGCGCGCACAAAACAAAGTTCTACGGCTTCCCTTTGAAGCCGTACAAGGCGGAGTGCCGCGCGACTTGGGTGCAACTTGTGCGTTGATGCAGGTAATGGGTGGCGTTTTTTTACTTTCACCGGAATCGAGAAGCGGTCGCCCACCCAAGTGTGCACACTTGGATGTTTCCATCAGCCTACAGGAATATAGTAGTGGGAATTGCGGAATGGTGCGAAAACAATTGCCCAGTTATTGTCAAGCAGACTCTGAAAGACACACATACGTAACACCCATACGTAATTACACATACGTAAACATACGTAATTAGCGCAGTCCACTCAACGCCAACTAAGAAAGCTCTGTCCAAGTTTTTTTTGCGGGCGCGCTCAATTTCGTTTGCGGAGTACGGCACGCCATGACATCCACTTGTCAATCCAAAAGGATGTCTTTCACGTTGTACACACGGCCAGATCCATAGAGTTTTCCTCTCACCATATTGGCACCACAGAAAAAGCTTTCTGGATTCATAACTGCCTTAAACCCCGTCGTAATTACCACGGAAACACTGTCCCTTGCTATGTTTGTCGCCATTGCTACCCCCCAATGATTCTGCACTGGTTACCAAAGAAGCTTTCTGGATTCGTAATCTCCTTAAACCCCAACAGGGACACTGTTTGCTGTGCTGTCTGTCGCCATTACTTCCCAATAATTTTGTGCCGGCGGCACCGGCTACCAAAGAAACTTCCCGGATTCGTAACTGCCTTAAATCCTGCATAATCACGCGGGGACACTGTCTGCTGTGCTGTTCATCGCCATTGCTCCTTGATGATTCTGCGCAGCCTACCGCTAGGTGGCAGCGAACAATAGGTGACCGCTGCAACGCGGACGGCTCACTCACTTCCTACGTCATCTGAGGCGACAATGAACCTCGGCAAATGTGAAACCCTAGTATTTAATCTCGATACTGTCTATCAACAGGGTACACCTTTAGTGACGGCCTTTCACAACACCACAAAAAAAAAAACCAGCGACAGCACCGCGTCATAAAAGCAGCACTTTTATTTGAATTTCTCTTGCCAGTGTTCGGTACAGAAGACCAAGACGCAAAGAAAAACATACACAGTTCGTCAAAATGTACAGAATGGATACAGGAAAGTCTTCCCTTCAGTCGTTGTTTTAACCATACCCCCTTACGTACAATGTATTTTTTATTGCATGTGGTACATTTCAAACCTTCTTTTTTTTTTACCTGAAAAATAATTTTAAAAATGACAAGGTCTTGATGACGTCCAGATTTGCTTTTTTTTCAGGTTCAGTCACCGAGTTTTTGCGGGGTGGGGAGGGGGGCAAGAGCCCAAAAGTCGCGTCTCGGCAGCAAGCTCGAAATATGTAATAACAACAACAACAATAAACATAGCTGGCTGAGATTTGACTTCGTCGTTTTCTACAGCAACGGTGACATTCTGGAATCACTAGTCTTCAAAGCGCCATATGCGCGTCTGCAGACTCGAACCCAACTCCACGGAAAGTTTGTCAAGACGACTAACCTATATTTATCTCCAATAAAGATTTTCTTTTTCTCTACAAGAAAACAAAAAATGTTTAAGAAAATGATGCTTAGAGTGCTGTTTCTGAACAGATGAATGTTCTACCACATCTTTTTTCTTGCTCTCTCTTCATCATCTTAGTATAGTATATCACACATAGAGATTTAACTTCGCTTTTTTTTTTTCTTCTCCAAGCTCGGACTAAGGCGTGCCCTCCGACACGCTAGCGGAAGAATGTCCGTGTTCTTTAACTACACTGCCTAACTGTAATTTGACTTCCCTTTGCTTTTAAAATACCTACGAGTGAACAACAACAACAGTGCGCATCTATGTAAAAGATCAGTCTCCTACGAACAGCTACTGGGTTTGTCGCGGCGCACCAACTCGTCGCGATAAGTCGCACAATGCCTCAATCCTCCACAGCACTGCTTGGCAACGTTTTTGGCGCCTGTCCTTTGATCCTTTTGATTGTTAATTTTTTTTACTGCACAGTGGACAGTAGGAACGAGGTTACGTCCCACTTGGGCTAGCCATTCTTATTTCGGCTAGAAACAGCGAATTTCAGCCATAGTGTGACATCATTCAGACCAGAACATAAGAAAGTTTGCTCTCAGCCGTGCTCGGAAAAACCGGCCGAAGTAAAACTTGCGGTGAAACGTCGGTCTAGCTGAGACACACTTCAAGTGGGGGAGGCGTACAGAAAGACTGTTCACGATACTGATTGGCACCGTGATCTATACGGGAATTGTAAGGACACTGCAGACATGACACTGGGGGTACGGTGGAGTAATGGCAGCCCGGTTGAGACCTATCACTGTCAACTCATAACTCCAGATCATCCACAACTGTTTTTGTTTTAAGGTCGGAGGAAGTGCTAAAAACATGTCCTAAACCTTGACGATCAGAGAGCCAAAAGTTTAAAAGAGCTGCACTCGCAGTTGCTTCAAAAGCTTCGGCAAGAACAGTGTCGAAGACAGTTTTAACTAATGACCACTATACTCTCGGGACAAAGCATTTTCATCAGGTTAGACGACGACGTAGGTCATAATCGAATACAGATTACCTTGACTGTTCAGACAGGCCATACCCCGAAGTAAAAAAACAAAAGAAGAAATAAACTATGCGCTTCGTTCTTGTGACTTCGCTATTGTTGTACTCTTCTATAAGGCAAGTATACAGACACACATGCACGCACACACACACACACACTCACAAAGATGAACACCTACACAAAATATTTTGTACACCCCAATACTCTTTTGTAGCATGCTTCCCTCCTGACACAGTACCGTTGGCAAACGACACATCTTTACCTTGCTGTGGCGCGGCCTGCTAACACTGAATAAGCCCACTTCACTACAGTCTTTGATTCTACTGATCCCAAAGTATCTACGACCAAGAACGGCTAAACCAGGAGGTGGGAAGGGAGAAGGTATATATAAAAAAATAAATAAAGCTTCCCAAAAAAAGGCCTTTAAATGCAGATCTTGACTACAAGTTGCGACAACCAAACGACCAAGCCACAAACTTCCACGGCAAAAGCGGCGATGAAAACAAAGTGGGTCGAACTGTATGACTGAATGCTGCCCGTCTGATAACGAAAGTTAAACTCGAGCTAAGACTCTTCCAACACCGTGACTACACACCAAGGTGGGACCGAAAATGAAAAGTCTCTATCAGCATTGAGAAAACAGTAAGGCTGCCACCTTGGTTGCAAAACTAAACTGTCTGAACCTCTCGTTAAACACTGTTCATTGGCTAATTAACTGCCAATTCGAGTGAGCCTTGGATACGAGAACAATGTGACTGTCGAGGACGCGTCACATTGGCGCCGTCAAGCTTTCAACGCAAGTCCACGCATAAGAAGTTTCACCATGGCAAAAGTGTAAAGAATAGTCCCTCGTATGATAGTGTGCTTTCATAATCATGCTTGAGTGAGTAAATAAAGTAATCAAAAGATTCTTGAAGGAAAGGTTTGCAAACTTTTCTACCGCATCTTTGCTGCGGCCAAAGTCGGGATATAAGAAACGGGAAATCTCGTCTAGTACCTTTCAATATCTTACGAAGCTCTCGAATAAACAATTGTTCTCATCCTCCAAAAGAATACATTAAAGAGACCTTAACATACCATCGGTGTCCGCATGCCCAGTTGTAAATGCCCCGCAAACCGAAAACTTCAAACGCAACATTCGTAAAGACGCACATGAGCAAACCAGTCCCAACGTTCCACGTCACCGCCGCCGCTCAACCGGACAATCTAAATATGGCACAAGCACATCATCCCAGAAGATGGGTTTCAGCACACAACAGAGGGACTCTGCCACCAAGCTACTGCAACTAAAAGCCCCAGGCCAGTAGCTACGTTTACAAAGCTAGTAACATCTGCTAGAACAGGATGTCACCAGGACAAGATCCTTTCAACACTTTGGACTATGTTACCTACCTAACTGCACACTATCCTCGTTTAACTGACTCTCAAGAGCCTAGAGCGGCGCAGAGTTGCGTGAAGTCGCATGATGTCGCGATGAAACAAACGTTGGTGCGGTAATCTGTGATGCGACCGCAGGATGCAGCACTTCGGAGCTCTGCAGTACTGAGACTGGCCACTGCAGCGAAAACACTCGCTGTCTTGTCTGTGCAACAGCTTTCTTCTTTTGCTTGCAACAGGAACAGGTGACGGAGTGACCGAACGTAGAGAAGAGAAGTGTTGTGCGCGATTCACTACTGCTCCGCAACTTCCTGCTGCTTTGTCGAAGATCGCCTCCAACGTACCACAAGCGTCAGACGAGTTTAGACTGCTTCTATTCTCAGGCTTGGCGGGTAGACCCAAACCCATTTTTCGAGAGACTCTCCGAAAGTGGACTATGCAGTCTGGAGTTAGGAAACACAATGCTTGCACCGTCGCCGTAGCCAAGCCACACCAATCCAACCAACTTCAGATGAGACAATAATGCACATGACAAAACAGATTACCAATTTAACAATGAGCACAGCAGTTGAACACTTCGTGCCAAACAGTGGCTCAGTGATTTATAGGGATGCAGCATCTTATGTACTTTGTCCCTTAAACTTTGCTCCAATATACAGGTAGTTTTGTGTCGTAAGTTATACACAGCTTAAGCTAAGTCGCATCAAATATAAGCTTTCAATCACACTCTTTCTGTTTATCAATTTGCCACTGGTTTCTAATGACCCAACTTCAAAATATTTGCAAGCTGAGAAAGATACAGAGTTTGTAAAAAGACCGGGAAAGTAACAGGAGAAGAAATCTTCATACAAATAGGTTAACCTGAGAAGATCGTCCTGTTTGGACACAACTCACAAACACACTGTCTTCAGAGATGCAATGAAAAAAAAAAAAAGAACAGTTGTAAGGAATTTAACTTCGTGTCAAGTGCAGATGACAACACAAAGCACCAGACCTAAAGAAACACAGAGCAAGACATGAATGAAAGAAGCGCTTAAAGGTTCCTTTGAGAAAAGCTAAAATGACCCCTGCCCCACTGCAGTGACAACAAAGCGTCAAACATTTATGAAGAGACAAGTCGTAAAACCTCTTTAATCCCCCCCGGAGCCCGCTTAGTAAAATGCCTGCCCCGAAGCAATGAGAAAAACACCGACACTAAAATCAGCGGGCTAGCGTGCACAATTAGAATATTTAAAACTATATCGTCAGAAATGAGAAAGCAGCGGCTAAAACTCCCGTTCCGAACCGCAATTGACAATCTTACGGCCGTCCTTTACGAAAAAAAATGTAGCCGCAATATCACCAAAGCCTTGCAAAAGACATGTTCCTCGAAAAGAACCAAAAAAGAAAACGAAAGCTCTGTCGGCTGAAACGTCTCCATGTACACAACTCGAGCACGCCGAAAACGAAGGTACCTTTTTCAATGCCGACTTCTTCCATAATACGGCCTTTGAAAAAGGAAGAAAGAAACACAAAAACAGTGCACACGGACAAAAGAAGTGAGAACGCGTGACTAAAACACAATGTGTCGTCGAGTGCACTGTTCTGCGTGGTTGTCTTACTATCCGGCATCCGCAGGAACCATCTTCGACTCGCAATGGTTGTCGTCGATGCAGAACATAAAGAAAAAATAATTCCGTGTCTTGAGAGTAGCAATCTGACTATGGCAGCTCCCGTGAACTCGGAAGACGCGGATAACACGGGGGCATCCGACGATACCAGCGAAACGGACACACGACATTCGACGGAAGAATTCTCACTAAGGCTTTCTCACGCACTATTCGACGGGAACTCGTTTCGTGATCCTACGAAGCGGAGACGACGACTGGCATTCGTTTCACGCGTACCGACGAACAGTTCGAGGCGACGCTCAAGACAACCGCAATCCAGAAACACTTTTTTTTTTTTCGAAGAAAGTCCGCGGATTTTGGCGGTCCGCCCAATGCAAGAGACGGATGGCAGGGGGGGAAGTGGGAGGGGTCGCATCTTCTTCCAGACGAGAACCCTTTCGGACATCCGGTGGTGGTCCGACTGCTGATCAATGACACAGTTTGGAGTCGTTGAAGAAAAAAAAAAGGTCCTAAGGGCTCATCTGGCGTCAAACGGACGTCTCGCTGCCGTTGGGGAAGGGCTTCTTGGTCTCTTGCGGAGACGCGTGCTTCGACGGAACCGGCGTCGGCGCGTCGATGCGGATTGTGATTCCGCAATCCTCCTCGTCGTCTTCTTCGGCCATGGTCGAGAGGCGCTTGCGCTCCTCCTCGTTCAGCGCGTCCTTCTTACTTCCGCGCTTCTTTTTTCTGCAGTGGGGTGGGTCGGAAAAAGAGAGGGGAAGGGGCAAAAAAGGGGCAAGGAGGAAAGAGAGCAGAAACGAGAGAGTGTCTGAGAGTGTGATGAGAGTTCTGGGGGAGGCGCGTGCGGCGTTACTATGCAGAGAGAAAGTCTTCTGCTTCTTACGCAGGAGTTGCGGTGACGACCTCTGATTGGCTTTGATTGAAAGGATAGTGGGCGGACCTTAATGCTAGATGTTTTGAAATTTATGCACTATTTTTTTCAATCGGCCAATAAGAGCTCGGCATTCTGACATCATTGCAACCCCTATGCAAGAAGCAGATGAACTTGCGTTCCACATTAATGGCAGCTTGGGTATCTTTTCTTTTTTTTTTTATGTGCACAGTAGTGGCGAAGCTTGACACGTGCGGCCGTCGAGCAAAGTTAGCGGGTGTGACTTTGTTTGAAGGAGGAATCGGGTTAAGACACAGTGTGCTCGGAGAGTGGAGTGTGCATGTGAATGCTTGAATGAGTGCTTTTTTTTCTCGCCCAGAGACCCTTGGTTTTTTTTAGTAGCCATTTTCCTGTGTTGTAGAAATTGATGCTACACCTGGTGAACGTGCAATTAATGTGGTCCTTAAAATCTGTCAGCTACACACACAAGCACACACAGCACAGTTAGTGGTTCTTAATGGCATTGAAACAACAACATCCGGCGCGGCTAAGCCCACTGGAGCATCCTTAAATATGCATCACCCAAAACCACAATAAATCCTAAACAATTGTATCTATAATGAACAGTTCTCCTGCAGTGTAGGTTGTTTGTTAGATTTGCTTAGCCCAATCGTAAATATGCTTGGGCGACTCACAATCTGCGAACATGCCACGCTTGTTCTATAAACATGAGTGAAAAAAGTGTACCTATGCTTGGAGCACAGTTTGTAACAAGAATTGAGTTACAGGCAGCAGAAACAAGACCAGGCAATGTTAAGATTATGGTAAAGGTTGCGATTCTAATATTGTCGATACAGGGGCATCCACCACGCTCAAATGAGAAAAGATATGTCATTTTTCACTAACATATTCAAAGCTCGTGGCATGAAGTAAAGCATCGTTAATGAGAAAATTGCAACTCTAGAACTAAGTTAAATGTTCCCTGCACTCACTTGCTTGACCCATGCAACCCCAAAGTTGAGAATCGCATTTGGCAAGCAAAAAGCAATCGCGAGATTTAGTTGTATTAGCTCTCGTGAGAAGCAGTAACCACTGAAAGTTGTCTGTTCAGTGATACGAGTTGGAACGCCCCAAAAGCAATTGGCATTTGGTGGGCATCAGCAAATATTCTGAACTTTCAAATACTAATTCGAATATCCATGTTTTAATTTGAAATCTGAATCAAATGCACTGAGTAGAATAGAATACTATTCAGGCTTAATGGCAAGTCAAATCTCGTTAATTCAAACTCGAGGGGACCAGAAATTTGTTTGAATAAAGCAGAGTTTGAATTAACGGGAGTTTCCTCTCATAGAGACGCATAGATTGGGACCTGTATGTTAGTTTGAATTATCCACAAGTCTGAATTAAGAAAGTTGGAATTAATGAGAGTCGACTGTAGAAGGGTATGCACTCGGGCTAGTTGGTGATTCCTAGTTCCGAGGGTAAAAGCGCTAAAAAACAACAGACAAGTGAAAGAAACGAACAACACACGGCACTGTGTTATTCGTTTCTTTCACTTGTCCGTTGTTTTTTAGCGCTTTTACCCCGAGAACAATAGTAGGATAGGTTTTAAATAATTATAAATATATTCAGATAGTTTAGCCTTTGTCAAAAGGGCACTGAAGTGGATTTGGAGTTTGTCTCTTTGGCAATAGCTAAGTTGATGCACCCCAACATCCTAAAAATTAAAAATGTCTGACATGCATGGCTTGTTTCGCTATTAAAAGGCACCAAACAATGTGTTTCACCGCTTTTCTGATATTCTATTAAAAAACATGTTGTGATGTTTGGTTGCATCTTTAAAGGGCCACTGAAAAGAATGTTTTTAAACAGTCTGGTTGAGACACGCGTGTCAAGAAATTAATTTTGTGGGAAAAAAAAGTTTTTTTACAGCAATACTGACGGCACGAGATTTATTTCAAATTCTGCACGCAAAGTCCATAACGTCACGGAATGCATGGTCACACACTCTTTCCACCTCAAGGAGATGGTCTTACACTCTCTTCATCTCAACGTGATGGCCAAGCCAATCCACCTTTCCTCCACACGCCCGAAACGCCCAGAGAGAAAACAAGTGGAAAGGAGGTGACTACTGACTACATAGCACCTCGTGCCGTCAATATTACTCTAAAAATTTTTTTTTTTGCGAAAAATTTATTTTTTGACACGCGTGTCCCAAACAGACTGTATAAAAAAACATTTCATTTTTTTTCTTTTCAGTGGCTCTTTAAGAGAAAATGATGAGGCATCATTATAATTTTGGTTTTTCTAGGATCTGAGGGCCCATAGATTGTGATACGGATGTTCAATTAATTTATATTCAGTTCAAACCCATCATCCTCGCAGCAAAGGAACAAATGCACAGACCTGATCACAGACACTTAACGTTTAGCCAAACAATCCTTGCTAACATGTTTCGAGGGACAAACTCTCGTCGGCAGTCGTTTCGTCGTCACTCGATCGACCGAAAGCTCCTTGAAAATTTTGTGGAGAATTGCTGTTTACTGCAGTATAACCTTTAGTGTAGCAGGACAAGTGCACTCAACGGCTGAGGAAACTTGCATGCCACAACAAGTGTTCAAACTGTCTCCAAGTTTAATTGCAATTATCAAAAAACCTAGAAACTGCCATTTGAACCAAATGAGGTCATTTGGGAAACATATTTTAACATTTCTTTTTATTTTAAAATATGGATTCAAATATCCATTTATCCGTTTTGTATACAGTGGTATACATTCGAATAGAATACTTTTGAATTGACTAGAACTGATTCGTATACATTTGAATCTTTTGTATTCCAGTGTACGGAAATTGAATAAATGGATACTATAAGAAATTTAATTTTTGCAAGTACCCAATTTTCACCGCAACTTGCATAATATGGCAAAGAAATAGGTTCCACGAATGTTTCCCTATTGTAAGGAATGCATAGCCCACCCTGATTCGCCAAATTTCGTGCTCGCGAAGTATTCCTGAAAACCACACTTCGCCAAATTCGCGAATATTGAGCCAGCGAAAATAGTCTTTCACAATGCTCATTAAAATATGTTTCTTAGATGAGCTCAGTTTGATACGGTCATTGACAGTTTAGAAGTAGGCAAGGACAAGATGTTGTCAACCACGAACGGTGGCACAACTGACGACGATACGACCTGCGAGTGAAACATCCTCTGGCGAACCAACCGCGCGTCGACCAATAAGCGAAGTGCGACAAGCGAAAGCGTTAGTCGTGGCACACAACGGAAGCAGACGCCAGCTCAGCGGGTAAGGACACACCTACCTGGCTGCTTTTTGATTTGGTCACAGTGTGGGAAGCAGTGCAAGGGAGAACAAAGAGGATCCGGGGGGAGGGGGAAGGGGGTGGAGAGGGGGGAAACAGAAGAAACAGCCTCTAAAGGTGACGCCACAAAACACGTACCACGCAAGGCAAAAAAAAAAGGTCTCTAGAAAAATGATTTGAAGAAGAAAAAAAATCACAACCAACCCAACCAACCAACCAACCAACCAAAAGAGACAGCGCTATGCAATGCAAGACAACGCAAAAGCATCCTACGAAAGCTGCCGGCCCCAAACGACAGAGAACACAGGCTAACCGCACGTGGCCGCCCTGACCACGAAACATAAAAAGAAGGAAAGTGAGGGACAGGGAAGAGCTACGCCACACAGGCACCACTATACATGTGCATACCGGCTGGCATCTGCTAAATTCGTTTTAGTGAGCCTAGATTACGAGGTAGTAGCACCCAAATAGAGTCACTGAATATCACCAGAGTAGGACATTCTTAATGGCCTGAGGTTAATCAGTTGGTCGCTTGTGGTCATACCGACACTCGCTAAGTTGGCAAAAACGAGTGGCCATGTTCCGAACAACGGACTGCGCGCGCATCTGGCGTGTGTTCGCTTATTTCACCCCTGATCCTAAGTATAACCTGTTCTGAGTTAAAAACACATTCTATTTTACTACCTATATGCTGTAGAAATTTCACACCAAGACACAATGCAGAGATGCACAAATCACACGCGAGAAAATCAAATACTGTTTTCAGACCTAGAGACCTTCAGACAAGGTGAAAAAGATCCAGAGCTTAAGATGACCCAATTAAAAAGATCTGGTGGTGCTGATGATACTGATTCTACTGTTCATAGGTAGTGCTGATGGTACCGATTTTTTTTTATTGCTCATAGGTGGTGCTGAGTTCCGGGTTGCGTTTTGACTTCATTATTACAGCTTTATGATCAGTGAAATGCAGAGCCAGTGGTTCTTCTGGCGGATCAGCTTGGATCTGCTAGAAGCCGTGGGAACGCATCTTCACCGCTTAAGTCAACGGTCCATGTCAGAAAGAGAATGTGTGGTATGGATCGTGGTTATATACGCAGTTGAGCATTTGACCACAGTGCCCTCTCGTCTATAAACGTTGAGCCAGTGCATGCAAAGTTTAATGCAATTATTTACGCATTTGACCGCAGCGCCCTCTCCTGTATAGACGTTGGGCGGCTACATGCAACATTGGAGTGTAGTGTAGTGGTTAAGACGTCTGCCTCGTAAGCAAGCGGTCCTGAGCTCGAACCCCCGTGCGGGTGTAAGTTTCTTTTTTAAAAGTGGGCCGATCCCGGAGGCAGTGCAATCGATGTGAGTACGGACGCCGGACGGATGGGCAAGGCTAGACCCTAAGGAGCTTTGCCCCTAAAAGTTACAAGCAGAAGTGTGAGAAATTTTCACGGAGGAAATGGTGTCCCCTAAAGTTCACACATGCGTGGAGAAACGTATCATCTGCAGCTAATGACGGATGACATTTCCTCATCAAAAACATCCAGGGATCCCTTTCAACTCGGAACTAAGCGGCTGCTACCACTACGTTCGAACGCGATAATCAACTCTTTGGGATGCACAGCTTGTTTACACAGAGTGAAAACACGAGGTTCATATACGCAATAAAAAGCCGGTACAAGGTCCAACCGAGATGCTAATACAGCGATTCCACTCCAGCCTGGCAACTAGATTTGTGCTGCTAAAAGTGATTAATTGATCGACTGATTGAACAGTTCATGGATTGATCAATCAAACGACTGACTGAAAGTTTATTTTGAAGGTTTTCAGCCCACGGATATGTCTTCTTGAAGTAGAAAATCAAAGGTCAATGAGGGAAAAAATTTAAAGCTTCAACGCTCTGTGAATACCCAGTGACTCTAGCACGGACGGTTCCCCCAAACAACGCCTTAACCAAGAACGAGACACATCCAGGGCTGCGCAGCCAAACAAAAACTAGGATGAAAAAAAAAAAAAAAAAAAAAAAGAAAGTCGTCAAGCGCGCAGACAAATATTGCGTTGTTGACCCGCGCTCCAAAACCCCTCCCCCAGCGTTTTGGTGCAGAAAAATTGCAGCCAGAGGCAGAGACAGTTGCACAGTCGCAGCAACCATGCAATGCACAAACCGCTCGACAGCCCTGCAAAATGCTCAAGCAAAGTGACCGTCGTGAGAGCATAACAAAACAAGCAGGAAAGAAAAAATAAGAATAACCGTTCTAAGAAAGATTCCTCAAGAGTCTCGGCCCGGCGAGCAATGTCTCGGGCTTCGAGTTGCCGTGCATGATGTTCTAATCAAGTCACACCATTGACAAGTTTTTACAGCAGAGCTGTAGTTTCCCCAAGACCGTGTCCCCCGCAAAGAAATGAAGACACCGAACTCTGGAGACCTACCGCCATCTATGAGCGACGGTGGCAAGCCACGTATCTGGTTGTTGCCGTTGCTCATAGATGGCGGCAGCCTTTCCACTCTGGCTTGCCGACTTGCGGCCGGCCGTTACTTTCCACTGTACAGCTCCGCTGGTCTTCCTTCTTCACCAGAGTGGAAAGGCTGAAAGTTTTCTTATAAAAAATACTAATAAAAAAATATATATATATATATATATTTTTTTTTTAAACACTGAACGGTAAAGAAGTTAAAATAAATTTACAACAAAACACGCACAATTTTTTTTTTTAACTATGTTTATGGCACGAAAGGAATTTGTAGTTGGCCCCCGTGGGAGTCCACAGAAAAGAGGCAACTAGCAGTCACGTGACTGACCACTAGTTGTGTGGTGCTTGCGCTCTTTCGGGAGCTTCGTTTGGGCTCTAAAAGTTTCTTATTAATCTTCGTTTTTTTGTTGCACTTCTTTTTTTAACAAAATATTTCGATGTTTGAGAAACGATGAGCGTAAGAAAATCGTTACTTCCATTTTGACTTGCACAATAACAAACAAAAGCTTTGCTGTTTTCTGTTGAGGGGGGCACAGTGTCACATGTTTTAGTTTCTAAACATGTCAGTTCCCCCAAAGCGATGCCGCTGCCCGACGAAGGGCTGCAGTCCTCGTGATTGTCCAGCAGCGGCGTCGCTTTAGAGGAACCGACATGTTAGAAACTAAAACATGTGACACAGCGCCCCTTCGAACAGAGAATAGAGAAGCTTTTGTTTGTTACCGTATGTGCCAAAACGGAAGTGACGATTTTCTTACACTTGTTGTTTCTCAAACATCGAAGTATTTTGTTAAGAAAAGAAGTGCAACAACAAAAAAAAAGGAAAATTAATAAGTAACTTTTAGAGTCCATAGGAAGCTCCCAAAAGAGTGCAAGCACCACATGACTAGAGGCCAGTCACGTGACTGCTAGTGGCCATTTTTTCACGGTCTCCAGCGAGTGCCGACTACAAATTGGTTTGGCACCGTAAATATAGCTCGAATCAATTTTTTTTTTTTGTTGTAAATTTATTTTATGAACTTTTTTTCCATTCAGGCTGATGAAAAAAAATAAAGAGCATGACTTAATGTTTTGTAGTCACTAAACTTTGAGAGTGTGTTACGTCAATTAAGCGCTTTTCTAAAACGTCACCAATTTAGGACATTTGAATTGGAAGGCAGCTAGAAACAGATTCAAACATCGTCATGTATGCTCAATTAATTGAGAGCTGCTTCAGATATACTTATATCAGTGTGACCATGTTCTAGCAGGCTCAAATGAGTTCAAACTGGATCATAAGAGATCGAATAGAATCATAATCAAAGGTCTCAACCTTAGCTCAAATTAGATAAGTAAATAAATTTGAATGAATTCAATTGGTTTTCCTGAACTTAATTTTTATCGAATGCAAAATATTCACAGCTTCAACAAGAGTTCAAATAGGCTCACTGAGGTTGAAAAAGCTTTAAGTGGTCCAAACCGCCTTAACTCAACTCATACGGGTAAAATGAGCTCTAGAAGTTTACAATATTACTGACCAGATGTGAACAAGCATTCCCAGCTCAAAAGATAAGGTTGAACTGGTCTAGAGTAGTTTCGAATAGAGTTGAAAGTGAATAGAGTTGAAAGTGTTCACGCACGCTCTAAATTTACGTAGGTTCAGATAAGCTGAAATGAGTGTAAGTCAATTGGAACAAGCTCCCAAAGGCATAAAAAATCCTAAAACTGGTGCAAATGAACCCAAACAAACTCGACCAGGCTTAAATGACCTTGAGTGTACCTTAAAAGACCTACAGAGAAACTCATATATGTGGTTATCAGCAGGCACTGTGGGTAAAGTAACTTATATCTCTCAGAAACAGCGGCTTTGATGGTGTGAAATTAACCTAGCGAAGATCGATCTCAGTGAATGTGCTCAATGGGTTGAAATGGGCTTGGATAAGCTTCCATTCACAGTTTCCAGCGATGTAGTCATCACATCACAGATTTCGAGCCCACCATGATGAAAGGCCTACAAAGGCAACGAATTGTTAATTGACAATTTCAAACCTCAGCGAGGACAAAAAAAAATCTCAAACTTTGCAAAATTGGTTCTAAGCTAGTTTCAGACAGCCGAACTCAAACTTTCAATGTTCTTTAAAGGGATACTGAACTGAAATTTCGAGCTCACAAAACAAGGCTGAACGGATAGGCGGGACGCTGCTGAACCCAGACACATCACTCATACAGCGATACCTCCAACGGATCACCATATTTTTGGAAAAGAAGTGCGCGATTGAACATGGCCGACGAGACAAGGCACGTCGTGATTCCCATTCTCTTTCCTCTTCGCTACGTCCCACCGAGCTAGTGAACCGAAGCGAGGATGAAAGAAGCAAGGCCGCTTCCTCTCATTCCCAAGTTCTCCCGGAGGACAATGACCTCAAAGACCTTGCTAGATCGCACCTTTCTTTTCCATAAGTATGGCCATCCATTTGAGATATCGATGTATGAGTGATGTTTGGAGTTCGTAGTGTCCCGTTCAATGCTCCTGCGGCGTTATTTTGCGAAATTGAAATTTCGGTTCAGTATCCCTTTAAAGCTTCATGCCGCGCGAATTCAAACCTCTGCAAAATTGCAAATCTTCACGTCGTTTTGAACTCCCTAAAGTGCTTCGCAATCTCTAGCAAACATGGTCACTCCAAATAAAAAATATGGACGGCATGAAATGTACTACTGGAGGTCCCAAATGTTTGAATTAGGCCATTCCTGCCTCCGTATTCATTTCCTAAAGACGAGAGGTGATAAAAGGTAATGTGGAGTCATCAGGCTACAGTGCAGACACTAACGATGCTGCAGTCCTACCCAGCTTTCACATGGTCGGCAGGAAATGCCACCTCACACAGAAAAATGTGCAGTTTGTTCCATCGTGTGTGATGTCATCATGTAATACATGATGACTGAAACGGTGCAAAGACTACCGGAATCAAGGTGCAAAGACAGTAGCGATGCTGTAGTCATGCATGGCCGGCAGGAAATGCCACCTAATCTGAAAATGTGCAGTTCGCTTCAACATCTACGTTGTCATCGAGATTGAACAAGATGACCGAAAGGGTGCGAAGATTGCCGGAACAACTGAAACAGTTTGTGGCTGCTTCGGAAAGCTGCAGCCGTTTCAAGATGGTAAACAAGGGCCCAAAAGCACCGCTGGAAAGTGCAAATAAGATCAGACAAGTTTGAACGTGTTTTGACACGCATAGTCACCAGATACACAACACTTCAGACTGACGACACATTGGCAACCTTGGTGCCAAAAATGACCATTGACAGTTATCCAAACCATTATCTAAAATTTGCAGGAAATGCTCTTCTGCACTCCAGAAACGTTTAAACAGTCCGCAACAGTGCAAAACAATATCGTCGGTGAAACCCGACACTGTACATAAAGCTAAGAAAGTCGCATTCCTGAATTGTAACAGTCACTAATTGCGCTCGCCAAGCACCAAAATGGTAGTGTCCACAAGAACGTCAAACAATAGAGTGACGGTACTCGTGTAGCTCATTTAATGGCTCTAGGTATCAATGTGCAGAAACAGGTCCACAGCGGCTCCCACAGCCTCAATTAACTGCAACTAACCAAAACAACCTCAATGGCATTTTCTCCGAGGCTCACGCGATTCCTTGTCGAGCAGACTCACCTGGCTCCGTTCTCGCCGGCAGATTGAGCAGAGGTCGCTGAGGAGGCGTTGGCTCCCGCGCTTCCTTTATGCTGATTCTGCTGGTCGATGGACTGCCAGAGTCCCGTCTGGGACAGCTGCTCCGTGATGTTGATGGGCGGCAGTTCCTTGTCCTCGTGATACTTCTCCATCGGGACCTTGATGAGGTTCCCGTTGACCAGTGCAATGGCCACGTTGCTAGAGCTCACGTCTGGCAGCAGGGCATTCTGTGGCGCAAAAACGTAGCTGCGGTTGGCGTTTCGCGGACGACGAACCGACACCACACCCACAGTGCCCACGCAAAAGTCGGAAATGATCGCTTTAGCGGCCCATCGATCCAACTTCCCTGCCGACAAAGACAATGACGTTACTCGTTGACATGAGCCTGTTGGCATGAGAAAATAAGCACCGTTTCCATTTCAGCTCAGAGTCAGCTCAGAGCACGGTCGCTTCCGTCCTGTACCGTGAAAGAAATTCTCGCACTTCGACACATTTGACATTACTCGTGAAACAAACAAAACACAGAAAGGGGCTTTACTTTACGCTAGAGCTCTCGCGTAAATGTTCACCAGTTTGCACTGCCTTCATGGGGAAGCACCTGGCACAGAAAAGCACCTCGGTTGGCTCGGCGGGCCCAGAAGGTTGCTGGGTGGGCGTTTCATATGTCCTTTGCTCGCATTTGAAATGTTTCAAAAGCGAGAAATCGGAACTTACTGAAACATGGGCTCACGCTTAGAATTTTACGATGTACTCTGTTTCACCAAATCTCTGAGCCAGTCGGTGAGTCAATCGGCACGTCGGAGCGAGGCACACGACAATCTATCATCAAAGTGCTCTCCTCCTGCACAGGGCTGTCGCATGCTTTGCTCTGTCGCTCCGATTGGCTCGAAGGGGCCGTAGCGTTGCTTCTTTGCCGTGTTAAGAAGAAACGACGTGTAGTATGTAGTCATTTCAATAGTAAGGCAATCAACATCGTTAATAGTTAAGGGCCTGTCACACGGGCACTGAAGGCGACGTTTTCAGGCAAGTATTTAGTGCAAGGTACAGCTCACATTAACAAGATTGAAATTTACTGGAATATCTCGTCAGGTGATGATACCGACCTTCTTGACATTATGAACCTGGCTACAAACAGAATGCACAAATGCACTCCTGATTGACCTGCAGACGTGTGCTTACATAGTGGCAGCAGTCAAGATCTGTGCGGTCGAGTACGGAGAAGCTATATTGAACATAATTCCCTTTTGCATACTGCATTACAGTTACGATCGCAGACAGAAACCAACGAGCCAAACAAAAGCTGGCTGTGGATTTTAGTCCCTTCCACGTACCAACAACTCCACAAAATGTGCTCCTTTCATTACCCCCTTTTCCCCGACTGTCAAACCTTCTTTTTATTGCGGATCTTAAAAAGGAGCACACTGGAAGCATCGAAATGGCTTCTGACTTCAGAAAGGCATTCGAAAACTGGCCCGAATGAAATTGACTGTATTTCACTGTTCCACCCCCCCCCCCCCCCCCCCCCTTCCTTTATATGAAATCCAATCTTATGAAATGGCATTACGTCCGGCAGTTCGGTATCGGCACTCAATCTTTTCAGCACAGTCTTCTAAGAGCAGACCGATCGCATATGTGCAATTACTGGCAAATCATTTGTCACAAAACAAGGGGTTAAAGCAACGATACAAACGACCGGGTTAGAAGTTATTAACTTAATAATAAAGAGGTTATTAAACTTATTAATAAAGGTACCATCGAGGCAAGACACTGGAGTCATACGAAGGTAGCATGCAGAGGACAGGCCAAAAGGGTCGCTGAGCCATTGAAGAAACCGCATAAATAGGTTTCTAAACGTGTTGTGTCAAGATTTTGTACAGAGACGGCAGAAGATGATGGCACATTTTTTGTGCCATCATCTTTTGCTAGCAGACAGACGTCGTAGGCAGAAAAATTGCGTTCTTCGCTTTTAGCTTTTTAATTGTGTTTGAGTAAATTTATTCTTCAAATTTGGATGCACGAAAGGCACCATGCTTCAGCCAGCTCTCTACATAATTTTGGCGTGATGTGTTGAATCGATTCGTGCGGTCTCTCCGAAGGATCAACTTCTATTCGACTTGGGCGGTAGTACTACAGACAGGAAGGAGGGAGGATCTGGAATTCACAGGCACGCTCACCTGATCATCGCATTCGTCCCGCATCAAACTCAGATTTGCAGGCTTCGGTATGAAATAAGAAACATGCTGTTCGTCAGACTTTGTCGAGACAGAGGGAAAAAGAGCCGTCAAAGTCGGGGATGCAAACTCCATCTACCCAGAAGCCCACAAGCAAAATGCCTGCCCTCCCTCCTACAGAGCAGCAAGGTGGAGGAAAGGGTTATGAAAGTAAAAGTGTTCAATAACATCAAACGCTGACAGTATCATGCACCAGTAAAGTGATGTTGCAGCATGCTCAAGGTTAGCGACAAAGGCATGCAATCACTATAGGACCCTTTTGGTATACCTTTGGTTAGAAATACCGTATTTGCACGAATATAACGCGACCACGAATATAACGCGAGGGCAGTTTTTGATGCCCCCAAAAAGAAAAAAAATATTATTACTATTATAACGCGAACCGATGCCGCGTCAATTTCTCGCACTCGGGGGCATAGCAGAAGTGAAAAGTCAATGGAAATAGAAGAAATATCAGTTTATGTTTTGACTGCACTCATCCTCACTACTCAGGTCCTTCCGTTTACAATTCACTTGGCGACTACGCAGGTATGCAGCGGCACGGCACCTGCTTGTCTGGTAGTTCTTTTTTCTTCCCTGCGAGCTCCTCGGCAGCCCACAATCCAAACAAGGCGCGGAAGCAGAAGCACAAACACCAGACCACTCTGCAGCAGAAACTAAACAATGCGCAGGCAAAGAAAAGACAGCTGAACCCGATACACGATCACACTTCTTGTTCTGGTCCTTCTTCGTAAACAAATGCCTCGTGTTGCACGATTGCATAAACGCGGTCGGTGGTCTTGGCTTGGCTTGTGTTGACTTGACTTGGCCCGGCTTGGCTTGGCTCGAATTGGCCGGTGCCCGCAACCCCGCATGGCGCGCGCGCGCGTGCGGCGTGCCCGCGTTGTAAAAACACAAAAGCGATAAAAATGCTTTTTATGTTTTCTATTCGCCCCTTCACGTGGCCCAATGGCTACAAAATGCCCCTCCACACCCCCACTTCTTTTTCCATTGGATCTTTTGCATTGAGCCGGAGAGATGACTTTCTCCTCTGGCTTTCTCCAGACTCGCGCACCTCGTGGCTGAACTCGATTCCGAATATAACGCGAGGTGCGTTTTGGAGCACGTAATTTCGAAAAAAAACTCGCGTTATATTCGTGCAAATACGGTAATGACTGTGGCAATGAATGTTAGCTCAGGCAACAGATCTCCTTGGAGCCAGAGTTTGTTCATGAGAAACTGGAAAGAGCTTCTCTTATCCGTAAAAACATGTCTTTTGTCTGCAATTACAGTTTTTTTTTTTTTTATTATTATTTTAATTTGACGGATATTAGGCTAAAAAGTGCAACTGTGGCAAGATGCAGGTCAGCACCTTAGACGATGTCACAAGATTTCTAGGCAGCCATTCTCCTCTAAATTTGTTTTCCAGGGTCAACTTCAAGATCAAGAGACAAAAATATTGGACGTGTAACAAATTCAAAACTTTTTCAATTGTTCATATAAAAAAGGAAAACGAGAAAGGTTACAGTTTGGATCCGTAGCACACCCCAATGTTAACACACACCAACCAATGCATCAAGAAGTGAAACAAATGCGGCGAGCATAACGAGAGACCACAAGCCATCGACTCATTGACACTACACTTCTTTATGTGCATCAGCATCAACTGGTGCCCCACTAAAGCGATGAGACTCTCTCATCTCAGTATAGAAGTAAAACAGTGTGCTGTACAATGTCTGCAACGAATTCCGAGAACAAAACCTTGGAGGTGACAGTGCGGAGGTGAGGGAGTGTGACAGTGGGGAAAAAGGGAGTCCATTGCCGGAGCCTACGTGGACGTAGCAGGAACAATGGGGAGGCGGGGAGTGCCCTCTCCAAGACTACTTGGGTTTTTCGGAATAGTGGCTTACAGGGGGGAAGGGGGGGGGGAGCACCTTGCCACAGTTTGTGTGTATGTGTGAGGAACGATGGGTAGAGGGGAGCAGTGCCTTTGCCATAGAGTGGTGTTTTGCATTTGTACATGAGCATTTTTTTCGCCAGGAAGCGGCACTAACAGCTGCTGCTGTAAAAAAGGAGCAAAGAAAAACTACCTTTTCCTTGTACAGTGAGATATAGGGTGTCTGAAATTGCCAGGCTCAATCTAAAATGGGCCATAAAAATCGGCACCTGCACGTAGCAATCTAAACATTTCGTCAAAGGTGTATTTCACAGGTTGGTTTTACGCTGTAAAAAACGGGGCCAAAAAACTTGGCAGGGTCGACAACGGATGGCGACGCAGACAATCGATTCGAGTGGCGGGGAGCATTTGGCGCACATATTGATATATAGCGCCATGTCCTTATCGAGAGTGCTCGCGACGACCTTTGTACCTTTGGTTTAAAAATAACTGAGGACAAGAAAAGCAAAATTTGGAGAAAATAAAAGAAAAAGAAAGCAACAACAATGGCGCTCTTGCTGTTGACGTATTTCATCTGCGTGTTGTCTGCTTTTTTTCGCTGGTCGGCTACACCTTCCGACGCTGTTCCCAACGCCATCTATCAATATGTGCGCCAAACGAGCCCCCGTAACTCTACTCGGTCGTCTGCGTCGCCATCCACCGTTGACCCTGGCAAGTTTTTCGGCCCCATTTTTTACAGAAAGGGAGCTACACGTTGTAATTTTACAACGTAAAACCCGCCAGTGAAATACACCTCCGACGAAAAGTTTAGATTGCTACATGCAGGTGCCAATTTTCCCGGCCCATTTTAGAACAAGCCTGGTTATTTCAAACACCTTATAGATTTGCTCACTTTTTCAGAGGGAGTGGGAGTTCTTAAACCGTGTGTTCTATGTAAGAGTCAGTGCTGAGCCAAGACTGTCTAAAAAGCACCTGGTAGTAAGAATATCACAAATAAACTTTGTACATGAAAAAAAAAAAAAAGCACTTTGGGTGAAATATACTATTATGTGAGAGTACAGTGTACTCCCAAAGTAAAGTTTCAATTATTTTTTTTTTTTTTAATTTTGAATACTTTTAGGTACATTCCTTCCATATATATATTTTAATGAAAGAAATGAATGTAATAAAAACTGACTGCATTACTTGGAAAAATTTAAGAACAGTCAGAACTTGGCTCAGGAAGCAAAGGTCTGTGATAGACAACCAGGTGGACTCTCCAACAGTTCCCGCTATCTATCGCGGACCAAATTTGCAAATTTGAGAAATGTACTATTATCATTAATATTATTATATCTTTAACAGACCCCATGGGTCAATAAATTTGTTAATATTATTATTATTAATATATTGCACTTTCAAAGGAAGTGCAATATATTACCCCAGAAATGCACTAACTAGGAGCAAAGTACATCTACCGTGAAATACAGGGCAAGCGCCCACTCAAACTTTGGAGATAATCGCAAAAAAATGGGGGATGGGAGCTTGTCCGGTCATCAATTTTACATATAAATGTACTGTGCATATTTTCTCCGATCTTACAAATTTGGTAATGGGCACTTAATGTGGAATGGGTGAATGTGCGGTATTCTACGGTATAAAGTGCTAGAAATACTTGGAGAAAGATGCAGGCACCTAAAACTTATTTAAAGTAGTAGTCTTATTTATCTTTTCCCAACAGCAATGACTAAGGCACACAGACCAATTACTTGCATTTTATGTTTTAAAGATACCGTAAAATACCGGGCAAGTGCCCATTTAAAATTTAGAGATAATCGAAAAAAAATGGGAGATGGGCGCTTGTCCGGTCATCAATTTTACATATATGTATAGTACTGTGCATATTTTCTCAGATCTTAGAAATTTGGATATGGGCGCTTAATGTGGAATGGGCAGATGAGCGGTAATCTACGGTAGTGATATTCGTTTTAACCCAGGAGCCACAGGACCACAGAAAGGCAAGCCAGCTGCCTGTACCACGAAGGCCTGTGGCACTGCATCTTGTGACGATCCAGCAACATCGCACAGATCAAAGAAAGATAGAGACGACAGCATTCCGGCTAGGCGCACTTCTGACAAACACAACAAGGGGATGCGAAGTGAAAGTGCCCAGGGGAAACCAACCTTCATCTCGAACACTTCCTGCTCGACCTCCTTCATCATCTCTTCCTCCTGCTTCTTCTTGGTGTGCTCTGGCATGACGTCGTCAAGCACCTTCAGCTCCCGCTGGGTGAAGATGAAGTCCAGCAGCTTGCGCACCCCAATCATCACCACCAACTGCGCAGATGAATGGATGGGAATATGTTCATCGAGACCATATTAGTGGGGCTGGTTGCACTGTGGCGTGGCCTTTTTAGAGAAAGTGTGTACACTACAATTCACTTATAACTGATTATCGTTGTATCTGTACTAGAAACTGATGGTTTCTAGTTTAGAAACTTTAGAGATTGTACATTATTATATGTGGTACAGTTACCACTTACAAGCGGTACATTGTTATATGTGATACTGTTATAAGTATATTGTACCGTAGTTAGAGAGTTTTTCTAATGCCAGTCTTCTCCAGGAAGGAGAACTGCACAGATTCGTCCCCCATTAGTGGCTTGTCGTGCCGAAAACCAGATGGCACCACCATAAGTCAGTTGGAGTTGTTTGTCATGCTACCGACAGACGGCATTGCCATGTTATTCAATGTTTGTCGTGCCACCAAAAAGAAAATTTGAGTGTGTGTATGTTTATACAGCCTAGAACTTAGTCTGCCCCAACGGGCAACTTGTGTCCCAGCTGTAGATGAGAAATTTAGGCAGTGCAGTACAAACGCTAGTCTGGGGTCTTTAACATGCACCAGGCAGTATTGATGCACAACCGCAAGCCGGTACAAGGCTTATCCAGATCAAATCGGGCAGGGGTGGGGATTGTGTTGTACCACCAAGAGGTGATGCCACCGTATGTTGCTCTAAGTTGTTTATCGTACCACCAGCAGATGGCGCCACTGTATTTTACTTTCAGTTGTTTATTGTGCCAACAGATGACACCACCATATGTTACTCCAAGTTGTTTTTGTCGTGCTACCAACAAGTGGTGCCACTGTATGTTGCTCTAAATTGTTTATCGTGCCAACAGATAACACCAACGTATGTCTCCCGTGCGAAACGGCAACGTGTTGTTTGCAGACCGGTGGCGTCGCTGCGTTTCCATAGGAGCTAAGCCTTTTTCTTTCTTTACTTTTTCCTCAGGTAAGTTTGCTCTTTGCAAATTTTACAAAAAAAAATGCATCATCTGTGGGCAATGCTGCACAAAGTCGTAGCGCAATAGGTTAAGAAACCGAATTTTCCGGTCGATTTAAAGAGCCTGGCGTCTCCTTGTTTCACCCTGTAGACTTTGGCTTCTTTTAGACACTGCTCTTGCTACAGAGAGGTCTTCAGCTTACACAAAATGAGCACCGAGCATCGAGACTGGCAAGCGCCTCCTCTAGCAAAACTCTTTGGTAAACTCACCATAAGGGGGAACGCGATGGACGATGGCTTGTAGGATTTGATGAGCCAGAGGCAGACCAGACAGGTGAGCTGGATCAGGGTGAACAGGTGCACTCGCATGGTGGGCACGTGCCGGAGGAACATGTAGTCCGGCTGGTACTTTTGAGGCATGAACATGATCAGGATGCGGTCGAAGAACTGAAATGGCAAAACGCCGTTTCTTTGAGACACTGGCTAAACAGACTGGAGCTAGCTCGTTTTACCTTAAAGGGCAACTCCGCTCAATTCCGAAGATTTCGGGATAATGAGTGATTTCGAATTAAAAAGCCCTAGTAAAAGACACTACGTCTTTTGCTTCGCAAAAAATGGGATATATATTTTTAAATCTAATTTTAAACACGAGCGGAAATCGAAACCGAAACTTCGGCTCCGTCCGGCAACATTGGCCTCGGGCCGCCAAGTACATGGCCATCACGTGGTACGAGAGGTCACGTGATCCTCGGCCCAACGACGGGCGGGATGGGGGCGGGCGAGCCTGCGGCAGGCACGAGTGTCGTCTGCACCGCACTCTTCGCCACGTTTTGGTGTCTACGGCATTCAACGACGTCTGCACAACTGCGGCATAAGTCTGGGACTCTGCGCACGTGGTGTCCATAGTGTGGACGAAACTCCGAGAGGAAATAATCACAAACGGTGAGACGACGACGGTGGTTGTGACACGGAAGACGGCGGTAACGGCGGGACCACGGCGGGCGGTTGATCTGCTCCCAAGAAGCGCGCTGCGCAGGCGCGTACGTCAATCACGTGGACACCGCTGAGCGCCGAGAGGCAACGTTGCTGACGTCACGCGCTACGCTCGATCGGAGAAGTAAAAACAAGCAAAAGGGGGCCATGTAGATGGTGTTTAGCTCAATGTTGGCTCCACCCATGCCGTAGCCTTGACTGCGCTGTTGGTTGCGCGAGAATTCGCCCGCTCGAGTCAGCCGATTTCGGCAACTTGGTGAGTTGCAAAGTTTGCCAGACCGTTTAAGAAACATTTAGACAGAACTGGGTCGTAATATTTGACGTGTGGTCTTCCTAGGCGATACTGAAGAGGACTGCATTGTTTTTTCAAAACCAAAAATGAAGTGGAGTTGCCCTTTAAGTGAGGGTACAGCCAGCTCTAAAAGCTAACGTGGCCAATCAAGCAATGGCAAAAGAGCTACGTCACGGTGTTTGTCGTCCTTCTGCGTGTGTTCAATCGCTAGGCCATAAACTTTTCGGCTTTAACTGTAAAACGCCGATACAGATCCGTCGGTGTCAGAAACTCAAAATTAATTAAGACCAAAAGACACCGATAAAGACCTACTGACATGAAAAATACAAAATCAATTAAAACTGAAAAACATAGATTTCTGAAGATGTCTGTTCCAGTAGGACCATTTTTATCGAAACCCTCCCTCTTAGACCTGGTTCTTCATGATATTTTTTTCACCGATGATCACTGTTTTCAGTGTCCATCCAAAACAAATCACCAGAAATACACTGATATATGAAGAAAAAAAAAATTATAGGAGGACACTCAAGACTGCTTACATGTAGGAAGGCGAAAGCATTATAGTCCTGCGAGAGAAATGTTTTCGAGCAATGTTCCTGCACGTAATAAGGTTTAGGACAATGTCCTAGAGATCAATGCCAAGTACAGCATCTAGAACCTCTAGGACGACATTGAGGACGTCAAGGACGACCTCAAGGACGACGTCTAGGCCGACTTCTAGGATAACATAGAGAGCGACGCCTAGAGGACAACGTCGAGAACGACACCTCGAGGACGACGTCTAGGTCGACGTCAAGAACGATGCCTAGGAGGACTTCTAGGACGATGTCTAGGACGACCTCAAGGACGACGTTGAGAAAGACGCCTAGAGGACGACGCCTAGAGGATGACGTCTAGGACGACCTCTAGGGCGACGCCAAGAAAGGAGTCATCCTTGAGCATACAATTGAGCGGCGCATGCTTGGCGAGATATTTTTATGGCCATCTTTCGGGCACAACGACGCTGCTTTTCGCACACTGGGACAAATAACGCTTTTGCCTTAAAGGATAAGCAAGGCAAGACGTCCGTTGATTTCTCTTATAAATAAACATCAGAAAATTTATGCGCTAGCTATCACTGACTGAACCAATCAGCAGCAGTGAAGGCACAGTGGCTTATGCTTTTAGTATGTCTGTATTTGTATGCGTTCTAGTCTCTAACCACATTCAGACTTGTGGTGAAACACAGTATAGTTCAGACCGTAAAGGCCTACACGCACCTGTATGGTACTTACAATAAAATGTGAAATATCTGCATGATATATGACCACATTACGCAATTTCATGCAGCTTTTTTGTTACAGAAGAAAAGCATGAGTTTGAGTGAGGAAATATTCCTCTACACGCACACATGTAAAATGACGACAGAGCAGAAAAATAATTTTGAGCACGTGTAGAAGGCGACAAAAAGGTGGGCATACCTGTGAGCCCTTGAGGGAGGACACTCCCATGTAGAGGAAGACGCCGTACAACACGGGCATCGGGATGCGCTGCAAACAGGCAAACAGAAAAGACGGCAAGTTGTTGATTTGAGACAGCACTCCAAAATGTCCCTATACTTGTCAACACATGACACACATTTCTAAAAAAGTGACTCGCAGTCTGGTAGGCGCACTTCTACACTCTATAGTATCAGGGCTGCATGACATGCGACCCACGGGCCACATCCGGCTCGCGAGTCGCATGACACTGCAAGATATGCTCAAGACGGCAACCAGTGCAATGATGCCAGATATTGAAAACCTACGCGAACATGAACACAGACCAGGTTGGCACAGATGACTTGAAACACGAAAGAATAAAACACATAGGGACGGACACACACAGACAGGACAGTTCTTTCAATTAGCAGCCAACGTTTATGATGCCTCCTCAATGAATCAGCGCTTCTCTAATCCAACCCTCGAAAAAAACGGAAGAAAACCCGCAATAACAGAGAAGATAGCGCCGTTGGAAAAAAGGAAAAAGAAACAAGATACTCAAATTAAAGATTCCTATCTCCCCTAGAGAAAGAGAAAGAAAACACCGCCAGAAAAAGAAAACCTTGTGTACCATATTCCCTCTACCTGCGGGGATAGGTACGTTGGATAGACCAGTAGGTTCCTCAACACTCGCCTCCAGGAGCACTTCCTCGAGGTAACCCGTGCCTCTAGTCACTCCCTTCATCCCAAAAAAAAAATTGGGTTGTGTGTATGTTTATACAGCCTAGAACTTGGTCTGCCTCAACGGGCGACGAGTCTCCCAGTTGTAGATGAGCAATTTAGCCAGTGCAGTACAGCCGCTAGCCTGGGGTCTTTATTGTGCACCACGCAGTAGTGATACACGACCGCATGCCAGTATGATCGAAACGGGCAGAGGCGGGGATTGAACCCAGGATCCCCGAGTTCTGCAGCGCAAGCTTTTGCTCCACGTGCTCCGAGCTGTTCAAATTGTGAGCCGGACTTTCAAGCTACGCGCGAGTCATTGGGAGACACAAGGACAGACTAGGACAAGAAATTATTGAGTCCTTTAGGATAGCTGGGGATGATTTGAACTATGCCTCACCCTCCCTTAAATTAATCAAGGCAGAGGTAGAGTTTCTGAGAGAGGAGTTGGAGCGGTAAGCTCAAGTTGGTTGCGTGCTTTTCTTTTTATTTTTCCGGCGGTGTGTTCCTCCTCTTTTTCTAGGGGAGATAGGAATCTTTAATTTGAGCATCTTGTTCCTTGTTCTTTTCACTTTCTCCAACAGCGTTATTTTCCCTGTTATCGCGGGTTTACTACCTCTTTTTTGAGGGTTGGATTAGAGAAGCGCTGACCCATTGAGCAGGCGTCATAAACGTCGGTCGCTAATTGAAAGAACTGTCCTGTCCGTGAGTGTCCGTCCCTATGTTTTTTATTCTTTCGTGTTTCAAGTCATTGAAAACCTGTCTGCCAGTCATTAAAAACCTGCGTAGTTCCCAATAAACATTCTTTTGGCTCGTGTCATTTTTGATTTGTGCAGCCTTGCTCTATATAATGTCCCTGCAGAATGTCCCTACACCCTATAAGATATCCCGAGCTCTCTACCAAATTTTGGGACATTTAGATCAGCAAACATATAGATCACCCAATATTTGCAACATTCTACTATCAGTGCATTTAACACAAAATGAATGGGAAGAAAAAGACTTGTCCACAAATTTTGTAGAAATATCCCTAAATGCCTAAGATGTTCCCGTTTTTCTTAGAAGTGCTCTGCAACCTTACTGTTCGCAAGTGATGTAAACATATCTCTCTATATTTCTTAAAAGTACACCATACCCTAACTGTACTGAAATATGGTAATAATATTCCTACATGCCTAAATATTCCCCCATATTTCGGAGCACACACTGAAAAAAGTGTGTGAAAGGGGCACAACTTGCCTTGAGCACGGGGGTGAAGAAAACGGAAAGGCCGACCAGAACAAAGATCAGGATCTGTGTCACCCTCTGCTCTCTGTTGGAGAAAAAATCAGCAACACTGTGTCACCGCCTCGTTGCGTGAAAGCGATAAGGGTACACAGGGGCGCTACAACCTAGTCAATCGGTGGTGGTTTCTTTTTCATTTGAGTCACATCGTAGCAGCACAAAGTCCACATTCTTGCGTCCAAAAATTACCTTTCAAAATGCTTCAGTTGTTAGCAGACAACGCTTCGTTTTTCAACGCGGGAAAGAGGAGCACAATGCAATGCAGCTCCGAGTTTCAAGTAGAGGGCGGCTTGACGCCAAAGAGGGGTTCCGCAATTGTTCCTCGAAATCTAACCAGCCTATTCTTCATTGTAAAACAAGAGAGTTGCTAAAGTGATAAAATAACAAAAAAAAATTAGGCTGTTAGATCACCTGCCTCTTGTTGTGCACTGTTAATGCCTCGCTAACAAAAATCATATTTTCACAATAAAAAAAAAAACATGTGCAGCATCAGATATGGAGAAGCTCTACCCAATCCTAAATGAATACAACCCATAAAACTGGTAAATAATAATACACCGTAGATCCTAACAATGGTAGACAAAAAGGGTACAATGTTGTATCTGAATACGGCCACAGACCACCAGAAAACTTAAAGCGGATCCCCATTGAAGACAAATCTAAGTGCAGCTTTATCAATGCTGAAATTGAGATAAGAACAGATATGGAACATATGAACACCGGTGCACGGTTCATATCTTATGGCACCGTCACCACCCAGCTCTATGCCCGGAATTCGCCTGCTTTGTTGAGCCTCTTCGTGTTCTGGAGGTTACGATCCTATGACGCGCGGTTTGCGTGTGACGTCGTGTAAAGGTGCCGGAGGTCATTCCTACACGTTCTTGGAGAGAAAAACAAACTGGGCAACGCGAACAGCGTGGTGCAGGAAGGTACTCGCTCGGCAGAAGGACAGGACAAGACAAGAGTCGCGTCCTGACGATGAGGTGGGCAGCTCGTGGCACGCTAACCTGACTCCGAGGAACTGGGGCTTCTCGCCGGGCGCCGAAGACTCGGACTCCATCCGAAGCGAGTTGACGTGGGTCATGGCGAGCACAGTGGCTGCCACAAACCAGGGGAGTCCGAGGACGGAGCAGATGGCAATGAGGACGGAGAGCACCAGGAGGTCCAGGTGGTACCCGCATCCTTTCTGCGAGGTGAAACATCGTGGTGAAATGTTGGCCTCGGGGGGGGGGGTATGGAACTAAGCTTTGCGATTGTTTGATGCATTCCTACTGTCCGACCGAATTCGTAATATCTCGAGAAAAGCTCATTTGCGTCGACCGACAGCTGAGGCACCTCTTCCAATCTAAGCATTGATACAGCAGAGCAGTTCAGAAGCCTACAGAGCTTGCAAACGATGACAGAGTGTTTGGCGCATAGCCATGCGTCGGTGGGCGACTTCAATCTGCCAAGGCAATCTGCTTAAACCGGGAAAACACTTTACGGGCACAACCGAGAAAATTTAGGAGCTCAGGGGAACCTATGCAATACTTACGGGAAACCCCGTGTTCCTTAAAACCATGTTTGAGAACCCATGTACTAATTCATTCATGGGTGCTCAAATAGACCCTTTGCAAAACGTGCAGTGCCACGACAGCACAAAAATTTTATGAACCCTCGGTACAGATCACGCGCTTTCTCGTTGTGCCTTTGCGACTGCACGCGCGTCCCAACAGTTACCGCCACCAGCCGTTGCAGCCATCCGCCATACCGCCCATCCGCCGAGTCGTACGTCGTTGGTGGCGTACCGTGTCTGTGGCAGCGTAAAGGCATCTCGACAGGTAAACTTATTTGAATATGTTACTCGTCGTAACTTGCCTTAACGTATTGAAGTGTCACCGAATCCACTTATTTTGCACCGCAACCGTGGCAGGTTTTGACCAGGTTCGACAAAGCGCTGGTGCAGCAGACGACAGAGCCGGTACAAAAAAAAAAAAGAGTCGGGCAAGCCACGAGTTGTTGGCTGGTCGCTCGTTTGACTCGGTTGCTTAAAGTTGGTTGCCATGGTAACCTGCCTGCTCGCGTACGCCACGTGGTCATGTGGTAGCGGGAGGAGGGACGTACCGAAGACTCCCATTATTCGTCGAGCGGCACGCACTGGCTTTTGGGATTTTCGCAAAGGGTCTATTGGGTTCATAGAAACTTAAGTGTTCTCCCTAGGTTCATGAAAACTAGGGAGTTCTGGTAACTCACTGAAGTTCCCCAAACTCCCTAGGCTCCAATGAGGAACTCCCTAATTTCCTCGGGCGTCCCCGCCTCTAAATGAAGCGTTTCTTCGCGTTAAGTCCTTTCTTAGGAGATCTAAGCCACCCATTGATGCACGAATACTACCTTAAAGTTCCGAGAAAACGCCCACCCCCGAGAGATCGCCCGTTCCGTTTTTCTGGCTAAATATCTGCAACATAAAAATTCCATAACATCGCATCATGTGAGACGTCAATCGATGTTCAACGGGAATCGCATTTGCCGCGCGATCTGATATACTGGTCAAGCGAGTTCATAGCGGATTCCCGTATTTTTGTCTGCGATCTGCGCGCGAATCTGCGTGCAAATGCAAATCTACTGCGTCTGCGCGCAAATGCAAATCTGCTGCGTCTGCGATCTGCTGTATCCGTTCCCTTGACATGAGAGTTTGTAGCAGATTCCCGTGTTTTTGCCCGTGACCTGCGAGCGCAATATCGATTCCCGTAAAACACGAGTTGGTCCTGCGTGTACCACATCATTTATTGCATCATGAAACACGAATTTGCGGTGTACGCGATCTGAAGTATCAGTTCCCGTGTCACGTGGTTTTCACCATGAAATATGATCCTGCTGCATCCGCGATCTGCGGTATTCGTTCCCGTGACATATGAGTTTTAACGGATTTTCGCATTTTTGTTTGCGATCTGCACGCACGAAATCACTTCCTGTGACAGGCAAGCTTGTAGCAGATTCCCACACATTTATTGCACCATAAAACTTGAATCTGCTGCATCCGCGATTTGCGGTATTCATTCCCGTGAGATGGGAGTTCTCGCGGCGTGTTTTAGCAAGTCCTTCGCACGGTAAAACGCAAATCTGCTGCATCCGTAACCTGCGGCATCCTTTCCCAAGAAAAAGGAGTTTGTAACGAACTCCCGTGTGTTCATCGCATCATGAAATGTGAATATGCGGTGTCCGCGATCTGGAGTATTAGTTCCCGCGTCACGTGGTTTGTAGCGGGTGCCCCGCTGTTTATCATTATATTTTGATAAAGTTTTGTTGCGCATCCCCAAAGATAGCCCACCCCATGTTTTTCACTATTTATCTCTCTATTTTGGGGGACTGTTCTTTCGCAACTTTTTTGGTGGTTGAACACTCCCCAATATGCGCATTATTTTTTTCAAGATCTGCAGGCTTCTGCATTGCCTTGGCAGATCAAAGTCACCTACCGACGCACGGTGGGCGGCTGCATCAATGCCAAACATACTTGCCAACAGATCAAAGTGATTTCATTACTTATTTCTCTCTTCTTGAAGTGACTGAATAAATTAAATATCTTCATATTGTCACCAAATCATCCACAGACTTCCTCGAAGCCTGGCGACGGAATCTCCCAAACCATCCGAAGGGTCACTCTTTGCCGGGATCTCACCTTGAGTTTGTTTTCCTTGCGGTTGATGATGACGGCGGTGATCTGCTGGTCCATAAAGATGAGGATAGTGGCCAACAGCGCTGGCGGGAATGCCGCCAGCGTTGTCCACCACGGGTTCCTTCCCAGCCATGGAATCAGCCACCCCCGACCCTCCCATGTGGGCTGCGTGTCGTCAAATGCAGACACAAATTGTTTTACACAAAACCTAGGGCACACATATACAGCTATAGTAATGGGCTAATGCGGTAGAACTGTGGTGCCTGGACCGTGTCTCCGACTGGCGTGTTTACTGCATCCAGAAAAGGAGATCCGGACATTTCAATGTAGGATGTTTCAATGTAAGGCGTTTTGGTGCAGTATTTTCGGTGCACAAACCTTTTGGTGCATGGACTTTTCGGTCCATGGACTTTTCGGTGCGCAGACATTTCAGTGCACAATCATTCAAAATCACTTTTTTTTGTGTTTTTTTTTTCTCTAAAAGTAATAAGCACTATTTTAGCTAGAAATGATTTTTTTCGCACTTTATAAATTTGTAGACTTGGTCACCCATTTATATGGTCACTTACTCATATACGACCTAAGTAACACTGTTAGGTGCAGCACCGACTGGATACGTTGGACGTTATGTTTCGTTTGCCGGTGTCTCTTTTCCAATTAATGTACACACTAGACGCGTCACATCGTGTTTATGTGTTGGGTCAATACAGGCGTTCTCGGCGCCTTCTGTAAAGGTGTGGGCTTTATTATTAGTAATCTGTGTAGGAAAGGACTCAACAGCAAGAAGTTTGAGATTGTTGAAAACTACCCGAGACACGTGATGCGACTAGTGCGTATGTTGGAAAAGAGGCACCGACAAACGAACCATAACTCCAACGTATCCAATCTTCACCCAGGATGGTACTGTGCCTAACAAAGTCACTTAGGTCGTATATCAGTGAGTGGCCATAAATAGATGAGCAAGTCTAAAAAATTATGAAGTGTGAAAAAATAAATTTCTAGCTAAAATGGTGCTTGTTATGTTTAGAGAAAACTAAACAAAACCTCATAATTTTGATTGGTTGTGCACGGAAATCTCCATGCACCAAAAAGTCCGTGCACCGAAATGTCCGCGCACCGAAAAGCCCGTGCCCCGAAAAGTCCGTGGTGGTAGATCTGGCCAGCGCCCGTTCTGCTGTAGGTTGCTCTCCAGCTCGGCAGTCCACGGAAGCTTCGGCAGGCGGGGGTCCGACAGTACGACCAACAGCTTGGACTGTGACTGTGAAGTCCGACAGCGCAACACTCCGGCTTTTATGACACCGTTTGTTGCCACTTCGGGACCACTTTCGATGCACGGGCGCAATGGGACGCTAAATGGACCGGTCGGAGACGTGTTCCTGGCACCGTGGTAGAACCCCTACCTCCGGCACACACTCGCTGCCTCTGGTTAGGCTTGGCTGAGCATGCTGCGCGGCAGAGAGCCACCTGAAGCATTCTTAACTTTTAACTGACTATAACGTGAAGGAAGCGAGCACTTTAAAGGGGCACTGAAGTCGATTCTGAGATCGTCCTTTTGTGCTGACAACTCAATTCAGATGCTCTACGCATCCCAACAAACCCAAAATTACAATAGTGCGTAGCTTATTTCCTCGTTAAAAGCGTGTTCAAAGATTGCGACACACACTTTTTGGGAAGAATTTCTTTCCGAGTGAAGTGGTCGACGAAGGGCGCTTGTCGGTGAGTTGCAGGCGATGGCTTCGCCCATCGTGAAAAAGAGGAGTCTTATCTGAATGTGTACCCATCAGACTCTCTTCAAAACAAGTTAAAATAAAATAATTTGGAATCTGCGCGTATTGTAGGGCTTTCATTGGTCTACACAGTGTAGTCCGCGAAAAAAAAGAGTCCACATGTTTTTCTCTCGCCCTGCAGGAACTAACACCTTTTAAACAATATAAGATGAAAAAGGACCTTTTGAAGAAATGACTTCAGTGCCCCTTAAAGGCTGATATAAGCGTCTAAATTTATCTACAGAGTTTAACTTTCCTCGTGCGAAGAAAAAAAAAAAAAAAAAAAAAAAAAGACTGTTAATGTTATTGGGTCATTTGATATTTAATATAATGCAAAAGATAGAGGTGTCCTCGGGAAATAAAGGAAAAAGTGGGAAACTGCTCTGTTGGCTTAACGGACAAAAAGTAGTTTCTTTGTTGTGAGTGTGACATTGTTGATACTTTGGACACAGTTGTCAGAGGAAATTATAATGGAAGCAGTGTGTGAAACAAACGAAAATGCTACAGAGTGCAGGAAAAATTTCTAGCTTTGCTCCCACTTCTTGTATAATCAGATAAAATGCATGAATGATGCACATTTCATAGTTCCACCCTAATGTAAAACAGGCTTGTTCAGAAAAATTAAACTTTTGGTTGTCACCCACGACTGAGAGGAGGTTTACCACTAACATTTCCAAAAAGCAAATGTACCACGTAGTCACATCTTGGTGGCATGTCACGAGATCATACTAAGCAGAACTCTGCAACTTTTTTAAAGTGGGCTTAATTCATTTGGTCTACGCAGTAGTTACGTCAACAATCCCGTAATTAAATTCTGTCAAGCACATACACGCGCGGCGACTGCACATTCCAAACACGTGCCTCCTCCGTCCACTCACCTCAAACTTTTGGGGCACTTCCAATTTGGGTGTCTCCAGGCCCAGCAGCATGTCTGTCAAGGTCATGAGGCCAATGGCAATCACCACCGAGAAGTCGCTCACCAACGCCCTCACCTGTGCGAGGAAAGGATGTGATACTTCAGAGCTAAAATTGGCAGTGACCTTTAATCCCAACAATCTTGTAACGGATGGAGCGCAATATTTAAGGAGCGATCGCTTCAATTAGTAAGGCAAATTTAGTGTGGAAACTGTACTCGTGTTCAGGACACATGATTTCAATTCCCCCGCTAAATTTAGCGCTGAAACTGAATTTTTATGCAGGTCACATGACGTCAGTTTCTTTGCTGTGTAACAACACTGAATTCAAGACACTCGCTGATATTTAAATGACTAGATGCAAAGGAAATAAACAACATGATGTATGACTGGTTTAAGCTTGCATTAAAACAAAAATATCAACAATAATAACAACAATGCACCACTTATACAACATTATACAGGGTGTTTTAAAGCGGTACATTTATAGGACCAACCAGCTTCAGGAGCCGCATAAGCAAGAAATGCATGGGTCAGTCAGTCTGTAACTGCTAAACGATCTAGAAAAAAACAGCAACCAGTGACAGGGATCGAACCACAGTCACCGGTGTGGAAGCCGAGCGTGCTGCTTCCACACGCTGAGCATACCCTCTCTTGGTGACCCAGAAAATACAGCACAAAGGCATTGTGCCCGCGTGGTGCTCAAGGGAAGCACGCGCAGAGTCACAAAAGAGACGATGGTGTGACATAATCTGTTTCCATACAAAACCCTGGCCTAGGCACCACCTCAACTAAGAGCACCACCCACCCGAGGCACTGAAAGACTAAGGGTCATCGTGCCCTAAACACCACCCAAACTAAGAAACCTACCCACCTTATAAAGCTACCACATTTAAATGCCTTTGGCAAAATGATTAAACATGCAGCCAATTATTAATGCGAAAGCATTAACTGTCTCGTGGAGCGAGTCGACGTCATCAGCTTTGAAACCATGCAAAATGGCACCTTAATGAAACTACGCGCAAAGCTAGCCAACGGCACCTTTAACACTTCGGTCCCATTGGCCGCTGCGCGTCAGTTTGTGTGGTGTTATCTTGACTGTGTTATCACACTGTTGTTTTATCACTGATCACCGCAGTCGCTCGCCTCTTATCGGTTGTATGGCGGGTGGCAATATATACGGCGCATGGAATAAACCAAGGGGTTCGTTCTGCTGGGAAAGTACGCTGCTGTCTGTTCCTTCCTCGCGCCACAAGGCACACGACAGTTTGAACGATCGCTCACCCGATGACGCTGCGTGTCCGCGAGGCAGCGGCTCCACCGTACCGTGCCCAAGGTCAGCGCGTTGTATGCCGCAGATTAAAGAAGGGAGCGAAGAGCGGCGTGCATGCTTTCGCATTCACAACTCATAAGAAGTGCTTAGGTGTTCCTCGAGCCTTTTTTAGGTTTTACAGACTGTTTTTAAAAAAAGTCCTGAAAACTACACTAATACAGTCCGTGTAGGTGTGTTATATGGCCAGGGGGACATAATATAGAAGGCTAATCATTATGATAAGCCAGTTAATTAACTAAAATTTGCTAAAAAAACCTGTTAATTAGTGAAGATAAACATATGTTCCAATTTAAAACTTGCTTAGAGTCATTAAAAACACTAAATCAGTAAACCTGAGAAAGATTTGAAGTGCGTGAGAGCAGCGCGGTGGTAAGCTAAAGTTAACTAGTACTCATGCAACGGGCGCAAGGGTGGCAAAGTGAAAATGACTTGTGCGGTTTTTTCGTCTTTTAGCTTCCGCCTTTTCACGCAGCCAGTATTTCGTCTGTTGCACATGTGATAACTTTACCGCACTGCCGCAATTTACACGTGCTCTGAACGTTTCTAAAATAAACTGATTTAGTAATTCTCGACTGATGCTCAGCAAATTTTTAATTGGAATACTATATTTTTTCTTTCCCAATATTTAAAAAGTTGATTAACAAATTTGAGTTAATTATGCAGCTAGATGCGATGATTAGCCCCCTTTATTATATCCTCCTGGTTGTATAACTCGACTGCACATGCCACATTAGTGCAGCTTTCACTACTTTTTTTTTAACAAATCTGCAAAGCCTAAAAAATAAATGTATAAATGGCTAAACGGGATGAAAATACAATAAATGATAAACAATATAAAATATGATTGATACAAATGCATATTAAAACAAAGTACTAACAAGAATAACAACAACGCACTACGTAAAGTATATTATGCTATGCAACACGGCTTTAGCCAGTCTCCACGACGTGTCTGCTCACCGAGGTGGGGAAGTAGCTGGTGGTTTTGAAGTCCTTGAGGAAGACGGCGAATGTGAATGTGGCTATGAAGAGCAGCACCGAGAAGAGGAACACATCCGGCACAAAGTTGCAGCCGACGCCACGCAGCAGGCCGCCAGCCTCCTTGCAGCCATGCTTGCTCAGGGTGGTCCAGTTCACCGTTGAGTTGACCAGTGCCTCCGTGATGTTGGGGGGCTCGCAGTAGCAGTCCACCCGTAGGTCCACGTCTAGGTTGATCGGATACTTGTGCCCGATCTTGAGGACCTGTCGACGGAAATTCCCGGCAACAAGACGCAACGGACAGCTCTCGTCAAACTAGCTTCGTGTGCGTTTTTCGTATTGTTCCGACTGTTGACGTAAAATGTCTTTTATCAGTCATTTTCTACAGAAAAAGCATTGTGCTCGACCACCAGAATCTAGCATTACATACTACGTAAAGCCCGTTAATTCCGTCGGGGTGTTATGATGTGTTGCGTGACATTCTGATGTTACGTGGCACCGTAACTCGCAACATGCACAACAAACTGCGTCTCTCACTGTTTTTGTAGCATGCGGCACTGCTCGTAAATTTAAGCATTGATGCGGTCGACGTTTTATCGAGGACGTTCACGAAATGTGGTGAGTTGGGAAAAGGTGAAAACAACTAAACACGTGAAAATACCTATTTGCATACCTGCCAAGTTCGGAGAAACCAAATCCAAGAGCATTTCTAAGCAAAGGGGGGGAGGAGAGGGGGGGCACCGGTGCTTTAAAATAAAATATTGACAACAAATTTACATCAGACAACTTCATTACATTTATATCACACTGCTCATGCTAGCGAGATACAGCTGGGCTTCGCTATCATTGCAGCGGTCTGTTGCAACGACAAAAACTCCTTGTTTAAGTGCGGGAGGGGATGGGGAGGGGGGTAATTTGCATTTTCTGGGAGATTTTTCTGTCAATCGTAGAACCGTACAAACGGGTCGAAATTTGGAAGTCTCCCGGGAAATACGGAAGACTTGACAGGTATGTCTTTGTTGTCTTCAGTATCTCCTTCCTTCTGAACTTTTGCTGACACGGAATTGAATCAGATGAACTTTTGTCGGAATGTTCACTGCTCTAAGTTTAATTCAAAGAGAAGACATCTACTAAACATAAAGCATGGTTCGGATCTGGGTTTAAAGGCTCACGTTTTCAATGGCCTTGTAGATGAAGATCAGTGAAATGAGGGTGGCAAAGTTTTCCTCTGTGAACCGAGTGATGTAGCAGACGAGAGCGCTGGCGTCGAACGCAACGAGCACTAGCAAGATGAGTGCTGTCCACAGTCCAATCCACAACCGCAGTGACAGGTAATCCAGGTCGTGGTCCCTGCAACAATCAATCAATCGATCAATCAGTTAATTAGGCATGGGCGAATAGAGAATATTGGGTCCGAATCGAATTCGAAGCAAATAGTGATTTTGGTTGAATAATTTCGAATCAAATAGTTTGAATAGTACAAGCAAAATATACCACAAGATATGTTTAAACTATAGTTTTATATTTGCCCTGATTTGGTATTAGATATACTGTAATTGTTAATTTCAAGTGTATCGAGTCCGGTAGCACGAAATGGTCGAAACGGACAGAAGCTTGCGCCACCTGGCCGTAAATCCAAGCCAGAGTAAGTGAAACCCGTTATATCGAACTCGCAAAAAAACAACTACCAGTTCAATATAGCGGGTAATTTGATAAAAAAATTTTTAATCAATTTGACTCTCAAAAATCCACTTTCTGCTGAAATATTACACAATGAAGTAGTCTTGCATCTTCTGCTGCTCTTTCTTCATTGCATCCGTGATAACAATATTTTTCTATACTATTGACGGACTCCAAAATGCTGAGGCCGCTGCCTTTTATACTCGCGCATTAGCACCGAACTATGCCGAGAGCACGGAGCACGTCTAACGGAAGCACCCTCTCCTGCAGAGCGCCGTTTTGCTCTGCAAGTTGGCTTTCCCCTAAAACAGGTGGCCGCCTTGGGGGAAGCCAACTAACAAAGCAAGCTGGCTTTTTTTCTTCTCTGGGCGGCCGCGTCAATTTGGAAGAAAAAATAATATTCTCTTTTGCGGGCCAAGCTGGGAGAGGGAGCACGGAGCACCCTTTCTCCGCAAAAGATATTTTTTCTTTTCTCCCAAACAATCAAAAAAAAAAAAAGAACAAAGCCAGCGTGCTTTGCAAGCTTTTGCAAGCTGGCTTTCCCCCAATGCGGCCGCAGGCGTTGGGGGAAAACCAGCTTGCAGAACAAAACGGCGCTCTTGGCAGTTCGATATATCGGTAGCGGCTGCTATTTTTGTTAGATGCAACCATAGTTTTTGCTATCTATTATCACTGTAACATTACTGTGCACAAAACTTGTTCGATATAAGGAATGAATCGATGTAAACGGGTTCGATATAGTGGCGTTTGACTGTATTTAAAAAGGTTGAATAATTCTATATTGTCAAATAATTCGATATTGCCGAATACTTAAATTCAATTTGAAGTGAATGCCGAATAGAACAGAATTCGATTGGCTATTCGTAATAACCGAATATTCGCCCATCCCTAATCAGTTTTATTTCATCACATCCGTGATGACCATGGTTGGAAAAAAAGTCTGCATTTTTGCAGGTTGTACAGAGTGGGGTGCTCTAAACAAGTCCAGTAAACTTCACTTTCACATGGCTGTCAAGAAAGAAAAGCTCGGGAACCAAGAGTTCGAACTGCCAAAGGCCAACCTGAAAAGCTTATTCAGCAAAGGCTGGAAGTCTCTCTTTTTCTTGCAATATAGTGATACAGCACTACATTGTATGTATAAACTGAAAAAAGCAAAGTCAAACGTAGTGGAGCGCCGATTTCTTTTCGCGCATCATTCTCTCTTTACCCATGTTGGATGAACCTGAGACTGGGGTAGAGAAGAAAGATCAAGAAGCACGTATGATGGAGATTCTGGTGCTTGAACTGTATAGATTTCGTCCTTTTGTGTTGGTGGAGATGACCTTGAGATTGAGACTATATGAGGAGGTGGACTAAACAAACGAGTTAGCCGAGTTTGAAATGTCGTCCTGTCTATTTTCTGTCTCTTCTACGTTTCGATGTTTCCCCTCTACCCCAGTCTCAGGTTAATCCAACATGGTTAATATTCATCAGCTCGCCTGCACCCTTGCAATATATTTTCTCTTTCTCGGCTTGAAAAAATTTACAGTGTCATAAACGATCACTCCTCATAGATAGTACTTCCATTTCATCTTGCAAGTACCGCAAAACCTCCACCCTAGTGAAGTGCGTTCCCTCGTCGTAGCAGATGGCAAGAACTGGGTCCTAAGCAAACGCAAGTGTGTGTCAAAACCACCACCACATGAGAAAAGTTGCGAGGCAAAAGGGCGTTGCACTGACTTGCAGAAATCGTAGAGGATGGTCTCAAAAACCAGCACGGGACCAGTACTGCCCAGGATGGTGAGAGGCTGTCCGCTAAACAGCCCATACAGGATGCCGCATACTGCGCCCGACATGAGGCTCTCCATGGCCGCCTGCATGCGCAGGAGGAGGAAGGCAAAGAGCCTCAGTCCACAATGAGACATAATGATTCTTTCGTTTTATTCATTTTGTTTATTATCCACGTCACGGGCACTCTTTGCCCGCTTGATTTTGGTTCGAAGCTGTGTAAAAGGTTGACATTTGTCGCCCCTTAGCGCCCACTACAAATTCTTCAATCAAAGTTTTAAGTCGCAGCTAGAAAATAATGTATTCGAGCGTCCATGCTCCATACTACATTATGCCCCACAAATAAAATTTATAGAGCTAAGATGCTTTAGGTTATCAGTGAACTAATTAACTAATTTCACTTCTCCTTTTGAAGTGGCCCCCACTTTGCCCCAGGACTATAAATACACTAATGAAAGTTCCCTTTTTTTTTCAATTTCTCACCCACACCCTCTATACTTAATCGGGCTGTTTAAAGCATTTTTTTGCCGTTTTAATGTATAATTTATACACATGCAAATATTCTTATCTGCGGTCTATGTTATTCGAGTGCCAAGGGACACCATCACTGCTTATGAAATTCCTGAAAGCTGAGAGTTAAAATGCATGAATAAATAAAAACCATAAAAAGAGTTTCTTGCCTTTGGTTTTATTTCTGACAGGGTTTGATATTATAAACTGGCACTTATTTTATCACTATGATCAAATCGAAATTTGCAAGTATCCATCTCACATGAGACAAATTAACAATAAATTGCCTAAATAAATAAATAGCACTGCATAAAAAAAAAATTGTACATGCAGCAGCAGCACAGATTGTATGAATTGTACATATTTTCACTTGGTATTCCGATTTTTACGATTGCACATCCTCAGAAAAAGTTCTTGCTCTCTACCAATCTCTGCAGTGCCTACGTATCAAACAGCAAGCCCAAAAAAGTAAATAAATAAGCGTCGAACCGCAAGTAGAATTTTCGGCGACAACTTTTTTCCATTGATAGCTCGAAATAATTGGCACACATTGATTCACGTTTCATAACAAACATCAAAATGCCCAAAGTACAAACAACAAAGTAGAGCAGGAAACTCTCGAAACACACGAAAGTCTGAAAACATATAAGAAAATCAGAGCTTCTGACTCTGCTTAAATAAAGACACAAGTATAGACATCCTGTTTCTCTTTAAACGGTACATCTTTTGGAAAAACAACGACAAAAGTCTTGATCCTAACTGGAAACTTGGAGATGCATATGGAATGTGCCACGAACGAGGAGGGCACATGCTATCTGCATCTGCGAGGTCACACAACTTGATCAGGCCACATGACCCCGTGGCATCACGTGACGTGAAAATCGCACGACGGTGAAGGAGAGAAAATTGTTGCGCGAGGATCAGCGCTCACAATTCTCTGTTCCGTCGCGGAGCCAAGGAGGCCTCCGAAGGTGATGATGGGTGTGAGGCAGGCGAAGTAGAGGAAGAACACCGATGCGATCGACTGGAGTGCAAAGGCATCCTTGAAGTCACTCCAGTACCAGGGGGCCTTGCGCTTGATGTCATTGATCAGCCCGCCAAAAAGCCTGCGACCGAGAAGCGCACACAGGTGAGAAACGTTCCGGCCGAGAATCGCGCGCAATCGAGAAACTTGTTTATAGGGTATTCAACGTAACTTGAGCAAAGGTTTAAAAATATTTTGGTGCATTTTAGAAAGACGAAACCAAAAAAATAAGCATGTTCATTGTTTAGAGCAAGTCAGGCTAGATTTCGTACTTTGCCCAATTAACTAATTAATTAAAATCAATTAATGGAATTTTGAAATATTTAATTCGGGGCAAAAGTTTCAATGACAAAGTTGTAGAGCGTCCTCAGAAACATACACTTAGTGCTTGAGAGCTTTGTATTGCAGCGCTCTTAGCCGCGGCTTGAATAAACTAGGCTCGCATGCTGAATAGAAGATGTTTTTTTTGCGTTTTTTTTCATAATTTGTTAGCTCTTTTCGAAGCCCTGAAGAACTAACAGTGTTTGAGGTTTTTTAATAAAACCCACTGAATTGGATGTTTCTAAGGAAGCTCTACAACTTTGTCATTGAAATTTTTGCTCTAAATTGAATATTTCTAAAGTTCATTCATTAATCTTAATTATTGGGCAAAGTACAAAAAATAGCTTGACTTGCTCTAAACAATGAACATGCTTATATCTGGTTTCGTCTTCTTAGAATGCACCAAAATATTTTTAAACCTTGGCTCAAGTTACGTGGAATACCCTGTATAGTTGTTATTAAGCCTTATACAGTCGAATCTCGGTAATTTGTGCTCGAGGGGGACCGGAATTTTGTTTGAATAAAGCAAAGTTTGAATTACCAGGAGTTTCCTCCAATAGAGAAACATAAAATGGGACCTGCACGTCAGTTTGAATTAAGGGGGTTTGAATTAATGAGATTTGACTGTATGTCTCATCGTTCAGTCGACCTTCAAAGTCCTTGAGCGAAAACACGTCGGCGACATGAAAGGCACCAAAACATTTACGTGACCACTTAGGCGAATTGGAGGCAATGAAATTAAGGAGGATAACAAAGCGAATTAAGAGGAATCAAACAAAGTAAATTATGCGTCTGTCTCTAATGCATCGGTGCTTGGGCCTTCAAGTCGTCTTAAAAATAACATAAAAAACACCGTAATGTTTTGTTTGTTTTTTTAGCACGGAGGGTTGGAGATATTTGGGGAAAGCGTGACGAAACGCCACAGAAACCGTTACGAAACGTGCAACACATATTTCAAAGGACGGTCCGTAGAAAAAGAACACGTAATGGAGGAAACGGCAATTATTTGAGAAGAAAGAACAAAGAACAAGAAAGAACTTGAGGTTCACATGAAGAGCCAACCCACTTCATGTGACCCTCAAGTGTGATGCCTAGTGGACGACGTCTGGGACGACTTCTAGGACGACCTCAAGGGCGACTTCTAGGATGACCTGGAAGACGACCTCAAGGGCGACTTCTAGGACGACCTCGAGGACGACCTCAAGGGCGACTTCTAGGACGACCTCGAGGGCGATGCCTAGAGATGATAACAAGGGATCAGGACCTCACTATCCAATAATGCCAAGGAAGGCTGACTCACGCTCGTTGCCCCCTCTTTTTATTTTTATTTATTCATACTTTCCACAACCAATGGGGAGCTGGTTTCCCCCTCTTTTTATTTTTATTTATTCATACTTGCCACGACCGATGGAGAGTTTTCTGTTGACATGTGAGGATGCATTTTTATTCAGACCCTAGCCCGTAACAGCTTCGCTGTAAAAATAACCGCAAAGGCCGCCACAAGCCACAAAGAATGACTAGGGTAGGGCCGACTGAAACTTGGGAGACAAAAAAGGAAACCATTAAAAAAACAGAGAAAAAGGAGAAAGAGATTGAGATACTGCTGGACTACCAGCTATGGATTTAATGCTTCTTCCTCTTCTTGAACCTTGACAATCTGCTTCTTCTTTTCTTCTCATCCTTAGAGCTCCATACAATCCAAGGATGAAATGAAATTAAATAAAATTAAATGAGAGCCACATACATTTCACATACAACTGCAGATTAAAAAAATCACACTCTATAGTAAGTTACAGGTCAAGAAGGTAGCGGCAAATGCCCCTCAAAGGGAATCATACCTCCGCTACCTCCGCATCCAATAGTGTCCCATCCATTCCGTGACGTCGCGGCCAACGCGCGACGAGGTCTTGTCTTCCTGTACATATTTGCTTTATCTTTCGACTTTTACTCAGCATTGTGGAAGCCACAAAAGGGAGATTAGAGTTTTCCCCCTCCAATGGAGAGAAATACCACTTTCGAGGATTAGGTTCCCCCTCCGATGGATACAAAGGCTGCTTTCAGGGGCTCGATTCCCCCTCCAATGAATACAAAGGTCACTTTCTTAAAAAGTGGGATCGAAGACAAGTTGGCATCACTCTGTACTCAATATCTATCCATTGAAGAGGAACAAGGAGTGTTTCCAGTGAACTCTTCCTTCGACTGTGGAAGGATTTGAAACGGGTGCATCACGCTTGTGGGAGGAGCTTCTCCTACAGTCTTGACTTGTAACCGACTACAGCATATGGAAGGTATGTGGTTCTCATTTCATTTAATATGATTTAATTTCATCCTTGGATTGTATGGGGCTCTCAGGATGAGAAGACAGTCAATGTTCAAAAGAAATATTCATTAAATCCTCAGTTCGTAGTTCAGCACTATTTCCATCTCTGTCTCTTCCTTCTATCTGTTTTTTACGTCTTTTCGTCTTCAAAGATCAAGCAGGCCCTGTCCTAGTCATGCCCCAACAACTCAAGCTCATAATCCAAAGAATGCCCCAGAAACAGATATTCTCTGTATACCAACCTCCTCTGTGGGACCGAGAAAAATGTTTTTTCTTTTATAGAGAATCATGACGCTGCGTAAAGCAGCAATACAAATTATTGCATCTTCTAACATTTCTGGCACAAGTAGGTGTTAGTACGACGCAAAGCACATTTGGGCAGGGGTCCCCAAAAGTTTTTGGAGAAAAATTCCAAGAAGAACCGCCCGTTGTCGCGGCGGCATGATGCGGAGCCACAAAAGTGGCGTCACCAGGAAATAATTAAGCACGCGAAACAAGGGTGTTGTAAATGTGCCAATGGAGGCCAGTTCATATCTGTACGTGCAAGTGCGATCCACTGCATTGGAACCTCTCGTGACCACCACCAAAACATAGTGGCGGCACCCATCAGGTAGCCCAGTCGAAAACTTCCAGTCTGCACATATTTTACCCGTCAGTCTTTTACCTTGTGCTCGAAATTATTTCAACAACATTATAAGCAGGGTTCCACGTTTCCCGATAAATCCGGAAAAATCCCCAAAACGCTCGCTAGTAAAATTCTAGTCGATAGACCGATCTCACCAGCAAGTTTGACTACGCCACCGCCGCCACAATGCATCCAGGGAACTTTAGTCTTTCTGCGCATGCGACAACCTCGCTGGAGCCCTGCGTGTGTAGGGCACAGAACGACACGAGCTGTCTTGTGCATTTCCGCCTGCCCCCTCTGAACTAAAGTTATGGCTGCTTCACGCATGCGCCAAAAGCTTGGTGAGATCGGTCTATTCGAATTCATCTGAAAAACTCAAAATTTCGAAGTCACGACGGCAAAATACAGTATTTACTCGCATAGTGAATGCACCCTCCACAACAACCATCAATATTTGAATTTTTCTTTTTTTCTCGCGTAATGAACACTTTTCATTTTCGGCTCCGTGAGTCTCAAACAGCGTCCAACTAAGCTAGCCGGCTAGCCACCAAGCCCGCCAATTTCCTTTTTCCGCCAAGCGGCCAGGACAAGCCAAGCAAAGCCAAGCCAAGCAAAGCCAAGCTGCTCTCGTGATGGTTGCACTTGCGTGGTTGCGGAAGTGATCAACCGTGAAACTGAGCGGCGCGCACAACTAGTGAAGCTGGGGTCGAGAAATTGCCCAGCCCCGGACGTGCTTCGTCCATCGGATGCATTGATGCTACAAGTGCCGAGAAACACCCTCAGAATTACACGAAAAATAAAACTCTGAAAACACAGATTTCTAGCTGTAAGCAACCGTTTTTCATAGATAGCGCATAAATTCAATCTCATAGACACCACAACACCTGCAGCCCAGTTTTACGCAGGTCGGAATTGTTGAGGGGCTACTGGATAAACGCACCGGTATTCCGATCTCGTAAGCGGTTACAAACAGTTGCAACCAAGCCGATCGCGCTGGTCATGATCAGGCAAACCGGTCTCCGGAGGCGTACCCCAATCCCTGTACGTCGAGCTGCGACGCACAGTCGGGCCCAGCCAAAAAGAGAAATCAGGCTCACAAATTTCCCTCGAACTTGCTGAAATGGTAGCTAGCATGCACGTTGCTAGTAGAACACTCGATCCGCTAATTCACGATGCGTCAAGGGGATGGGGGATGGGGGAAAAAAGGAAAGAGAAAAAGGGCGCACTCACTTGCCACTCCTCTTGAGACCGCTCTGCTCCCTCTCTTTTTCCTCCTCCTCCTCTGGGGAGAAGAGGGGTTCCTTGGAGGGTTCCTGCTTCTTACGGCCCTCCTGCGCAATTAATGGTTCACATTGATCGAAGAAATTAATTCACTGAGAATGACAGCTACGGTAATGTCTTGTCAAGGGAGGACATTACTCGTGAAGGCGATCTCTTTAACCGTTAAGTCTTATTTGGACGAAATTTGCGGGGCATATTCATAGCTAGGAAAGAGGGTGACATGCAAAGTCTTAAGTTTGCAAGTTTATCCTTCAAAGAGTTGTGCAAAAGTACATCAAATAAACATTGCACCCCCCGAGGAAAACTATCATTTAAAAAGATAATGGTAATGGACAATTCTTTTGGTGAAACATACAGTATGACACCAATGGGATGTGGCTATGGAAAGAAATGACAGAAATTATTTCATTTTTAATAGAAAATAAGAATGTGAAAGAAATCTTTCATTTTCTTGCGTGCATTAGGTTGAAGATGCTGCAGCTGTTCATAATAAAAGACCTTAAAAATGCAGCAACTAAGCTCACAGCTGTATTCCTTACAAAATTTCTTTAAAAAAAACTGGATTCACACATCAATTCATTATCAAATGACAGTCTTCCCGAACCAAGATTTGACACCAAGAAGTGAAACTGTGATTAACGCATTTGAAAGTTCAGAAAGCTGCATTTTAGATGGGGCTGGCATGTCGAAAATAATTTATTCTGGTAGAAAAAGAACTTCAGTTATAGAAATTAAATTTTCTGAGAGCATCCATCAGGATGTTTGAAAGCTGACAAAAAAAACTCGGTAAAAATGTGACCCTCTGTTCCCAAAAGTTGTCCAAATAATGAGACAAAATGTATGTATATTTACCCCGTTCATCCCCGGAAACTTTTGTCTATATAACAAGGTATCCATATTAACGGAGTTAATATTAACGAGATGTGAAAGTGTCAAATATTATTAAGGAGTCACATGCCTGACCAAAGACATCCTAGAAACAAGAGGTTTTTGTTTTGACAATGAACTGCAGGGGGTAAAACAAGCCATCTCTGGCGGAGGTGGAATTACGCTTGATAAGGTGAGTGCTTGTGAACTAAATATACAGTTTGATGTGACAGGAAAACAGATTGCAGAGATAACCATTTAGGCATAGCTTAACGTCTGCGACATACAGCCACTCTATTAAATTTCAATAATGGGTTCGTCATGACTGTTAAACTATTGAAATGCATGTTCTGAAACTGAATTATTTTACTATTTTATTGGTAGGCATTAATTTTTAAAACCGAATAAACTCATTTGGGAAAATAATTAAAAGTTATACTAACTTTTAACTTTTACTAATAACTTAATTAGTGTAGTCAAGTTTTAACCAAGAATTTAACGTCAATCCTTCAAGCACAAGCCTTGGAGTCCACGGATCAGTAGAGCCCTGCAAATCCGCGGATTACCCGCGGATCATCCATGGATACCCGCAGTAAACTGGTGCACGTGGATAAAAATGAATCAGATTTGGTGGACTGCGGATCGGATGTGGATTGGTTGCGAATATCCGTGGATCTGGATCTCGATGTTTGCCTAGGCGGCGCATAAACCTGTGCAACCGCACAGTGTAGAGTGAACAAGTGAGTGATACTATATGAAGTGCATCATCGAATGTATTGCGGAAGCTACCAATTGTAGAGAAAATTGTTCTTTACGTCAAGAAAGATTTGATTCTCACCGACGATCGCTTTAGAATGTTTTATCTAACCGAAAATGGTGTCCCTAGAAGAAGTAAAGAATGCAGGACCATCAGTCGTCCCAGGAAAGCGTGTTCTTGCTTGGCAGGGAGAGGGCAGAAAACATTCTTTGGGCAAAGGAAGTCCGAAAAGTATAAGCCACAAGAAAGTAGAAGCCTGCAAGTCGCTTCTTCGCCTACAAATAGATTGAGGAGACTGCATTCGATACTCTGGACTGGTGGAGTATGTGCCAGCATGAGTTTTACACCTCATTCTTGTAGCGTAGTTTGTGCATGCCATCCCTACATCAAGTGCATCAACAGAGAGAGACTTCTCATTAGCGGGTGTTAATTTAAGAGAGGCGAACCAGTCTGAATTCGTCCATACTGACAATATTCTGTTTCTTCTAACAAAAACCTCGACAAATTAAACATTGCGTGTGCGTGCATTCTTTTCTTCTCGACAGTTGGCACCGAGTTGTTTTTAAGTATATGGCTCCGAGCATGCAGTTGAGGATTCGTGTTTCAAACTGAAACCGATAGGAGGTACAGTTCACACAGAAAGAACAAAAACAGTGAAAATAGACGAGGGACAGACACTCACAGTTCTTTATCTTTATTTTTATCTTTTTCTATAGTCCGTTGCAACCTAAGAACGAAGGGCGAGGGTAAGACGGGCCGGGGAAGAGGAAGCAGACGGAACGCTGGAGAAGAGAGGGGGAAACCTCCTTCTCTCTTTAGCGTTCCGTCTGCTTCCTCCTCCCCGGCCCGTCTTACCCTCGCCGTTCGTTCTTAGGTTGCAACGGACTATAGTATCTTTGTCTAGAATCTTTTGCTAGTATTTTCGCCTTCCCTTAATTTCCTCTGTGACCAAATTGGTTTTTAAAACTGTGATGGGCACCATATAAATGTCGCTGCTCATTGAGAGAACTGCGAATGTCCGTCCCTCGTCTATTTTCAGTGTTTTTGTTTTTTCTGTGTGAACTGTAGTCTATCCAAAACGCTCTGCTACGTGTACTGATAGGAGCTAGTGCCAGTATTGAATATTCTGATATTTTCCCAGTGGTGAATTCGTGCCTCACCACATAATCGTGAGTAATTTGCTGCAGGGAGTGAGCACCTTTCCTCTCCCGCTTTTTTATTGTTTGGCCTAAATAAAATGACACAAGGTTATTAGTCTGTCATTTGTTAATTTTCATGTTTATAAAATAGGTGCCTCTTTGAAGTGGGTTTTACGAAGCAAAAAGGAAAATAAATATTAAAATGTCCTTCCTTTCGAGCACACGTTCTGGAAAAAGTGTCAGTGTCGCGAACTCCCAAGACAATCTCATAACTGCGATCATCTTTCCAGTGATACGAAGCGTCCCTGGAGGGATGATCGCATATTTTATAAATATGATAAAACAGAATACGATAAAATTACTTTCACCATATTCTGACACAAAGAGTTTGTTGTACAAAGATAAGCAGACGACTTACAGGAGACCATCCAAGTGCCTCTTTAATGTTTATTTGTGCTTCATTTCATGCTGTAAAATGAATGCGTGGATTGAGTGTCGGATATGCAGTTCCGAATTTTGCGGATTTGATTCGGATTCGAATACGAAGTCTGGACATGCAGATCGGATATGGATAGAATTACTTAAAAACATTGCGGATGTGGTTTAGATGCGGATACGAAGTCTGCAGATGCGGATTGGATGATCAAACTGTGATCCATGCAGGGCTCTACGGATCAGCCAGTCAGTGCTATGTCATCAGAAACATAAACATCTCCATATTCCTGATGAACAACTATATGGCACAAGAGAAACTGATCTTCATACTAAAAAAGTTAAACAGCTCGCTCTACCTAATACTTATAAAAAATTACTCGTCCCAAAATCCTTCAGAGCCACTGCAGCAATTAAATTGCTAACACACTCCAAGACTGTTTGTTCAAGGCAACTAGAGCAACCTTTCAAGTCGAATACCTTCTCAGATAAGGAAGGCTCTGACTCTGGCAAAGACCATAATGGGTACCCAAGCAACTTGCAAGCATCCTTGAGGCAGCAGCTTTAGTGACTCCCTCTCAGTAAACTCTCTAGAGACTGTCCCTAAGGTCTAGGGGTTGTCTCTGGGCATTTGTCCCAAGATTCGTGTATCCAACAATATGAAAGATTGAGTCAATGATGCAGATTTTGGCGTATATGTAGGATTCGAGGCAAATGGACCTTTCATTTTGTGGGAGACTGTACAGTCCCTAGGAGTTTCTAGGAACTTAATCCTGGGGGCTATGTTTAAGAGAGCACCTATGAATTTCTAGAGATTGTCTCCAAGGTTGGGAAATGTGCCTGGGGACCAGTTTCTAAGGACAGTTCCTATGTATACTGTTTCTAGAAATTCCTAGGCACTGTCTCTAAAAATGTTTATAGACTGTCCCAATCACCTGGGGACTCAATTGCTTCTAAGATCAGTTCTTGGGTACTGTCCCTAAGAGAAGAACTACTCTTAGGTTTAAGGTAAGCACTTAGGGACTGCTATAGGCAGTACCTAGGCACTGTTCCTGGGAATTTTGAGGGACTTTCCATAGCACCTGGGACTAGCTTCTAGAATCAGTTCCCAGGTACTGCACCCTAGGAGTCTGTTGATTCCCAGAGGTCTGGGGGAAAGCACATAGTGACTGGTTTCTGGGGACCTTCCTTATGGGTTTTGAGGGTGCAATGCCTCCAACAATAGGGCAGAGAAACCCCCAGAGTCACTTGCCTGAGAGGGCACATGCTGGGGGGGCTCAATGCGGATGGAAGGGTCCCAGGCCCCTGGAGGCAGCACCGTGGCGGCATCCAAGAACTCATCCACGCCTGCCAGTAGATGGTCTCGGTTCTTAGCCTTGAATGCTACGTCGTGGAAGACCTAAAACACCCCAGAACAAAATGTGATGTGTTACATATTCAGTGCTACAGTCATCCACAAAATGGACTGACACAAAGTGCCAGCACCAAGGGCGAAGAAAATGCCCTAACTCATTGGGAAGGTGACAAATCAAACTGCTCAAACCCCGAGAAATCCAGCTGATCTCATACCTATAAAGATGGAGGGGAATCACTACCACTTTGGTTACAGGTGCCCTATGTAGATGACATATTATGAGGAACTGGTGAACACATCACATGCACATGTTCACATAATTTAAACATCAATGTTTTGTCAAGTCAACAGTACTTCAGAGTAACTTGGAGCAGATCCTTACTCGTCTAAAAAACAGAAAGCCTGGTCTTTGTTTGCACAGTAACCTATTAACCATCCTTGAGCAGAGCACTGCAGTAGTGAGTAAACGAAAGCTGTTTATGCATCAGTTTTGTTTCAAGACACAAGCGGGTCTGTCTGACACCGCTGTACATAAAACACCGATGCATGTTTTGTGCAAAATATATTGCGACAAATGTGACTTTTCAAGAATGTAAGTTACCCTTCAATGCATGAAATTTTGCACAACTTGTAGCATTTGTCCCATCAAATATAGTAACAGCACCTACTACGAGCTACAACAATTGTCCTGTCATATCCAAAGATAAAACCCACTGTAAATTTGCGACTAACTGTCCCCTTAAAAAAGGCAAGGATCGTGCCCACCTCATCGGATATAAAAATGACAATGACATCCCCCCAAAATTTATGAAATTTGTCCCATGAAATATAGGGACAGCACCCACTACAAGTGACAGCATTTGTTCAATCAGCGAAAATCCACGACAAATTGTTCCGTCCGGTGCAAGGATGCTACCCACCTCATTGGACATAAAGATGGTGGTATCATGCCCCTAAATTTGCAACATCTGTCCCATCAAATATAAAAATGACACTAGTCCCGCCACATCAATGGATCTAACCTACTGAATTCACGGCAAATAGCCCCGTCAAATGCAAGGACGGTACCCACCTTGTTAGGCATGAGGAAGGCGAATGCACTCAACGAAATTACAACATTTGACCCCTCCAACATAAAGACGGCATTTGTCTCGTCACATTCAGATTGAACGCACCGTAAATTCGCGGCAAATTATCCCATCAAATGCAAGGACGGTACCCACCTCGTCGGACATGAGAATGGCGATGGCACGGCCCACTTCGTGATACCGCACCATGTTCCCTTGCGGTCCGAGCAGAATGAACAGGAAGCGGGTGGGCACGGGCACCTCCGTCAGGTCCCCCAATGGTACGGCGGCTGCTAGACGGACGAATGCGGCGACGGGACGCTCTAGGAAGTCCACCTCTCCGACGAGGATGTTGGACGCTTGAGATCCGGGTGGAATTTTCTTCATGAACGCCTGGTTCAGCTGCAACCCGAGAGGTGTGGGAAGAGAGAGGTGTCGACCATTGCACGGCAAATTGGGAGAGTGTCTATTAACTTCGGTAAAAATTCCGCTTTCAGGCGCCACATAGCAGTTATGGGGACTTCTTGGTTGCATTAGCGGTGTTGGTGTTGCGCCAAGCAGAAGACTCCATGACGTCATCGAATCGTGTAACCACAAGCACACGGTAAAGTCAACACCACCTACAGTAATTAGAGTTCCTGTATAGGCTCCCTACGGGAGCCAGAGTTGCGCATTTGTTTTCCCCGCGCCGCCATGCCGCTATTCGCCGAGATCCATCACGTGAGGAGCAAAGCATCCATTGGCGTGCAAGAAAGCCACCTTCACGGTCGCTCCGCCGACGTTTCTCTTGCCCCGGCGTATGTTTCCCTGCTTTCCGCCTCCTTTTCCTCCTCTCCTTTTTTCCAAGCGAGGCGGCGCGCGCGGCGCCTCTATTCGCCAAATTTAGTCACGTGAGGAGCAAAGCATCCATCTCGTGCGGGAGAGCCGGCTCTACGGCCACGCGCCGAGGCTGAATGCGCAACTCTGCTACCGTAGGTAGCATATACAGGAACTCTAACAGTAATCAAAGCCAGTGCACTAGAATCTTGACGCTGTCATTTCTTTACAAACTATGGCGATATGCTTTGCGGAGCGCAAGTTTGTTTGCTTCTTGCGGAGAGGTTACACCGACGTCAGAACTCTGGGTTCAGATTGGTTCTGATGGAGGGTTAACGGGTAGGCCTTGATGCTATGCTAGCTTGAGTGTGGACCTCAAGGTAGCTAGCATCAAGGTCTGCCCACTATCCCTCTACTTGGAACCAATCAGAGCTCGGCATTCCGACGTCACAACCCCTGCTCAAGAAGCAGACGAATTTGAGCTCTGCACAAATTGTTAAACAAGAAAGCCCTAAGTCCTTTGTGCCACAATCTTCTGCACTGCTGCTTTAGTTTCAATACAGTGCCTGGAAACTATCTTTGACTGGCATGCTTTTCTCAACTCGTCGAGCATCACGCACGGCGCACGCGGCCGCCACTCACCCTGTGTTGGAGGTCAGGAGAGCTCGCGTTGGCCGCCGTGTCTGTGAGAGTAGACCCACTGTGCGCGAGGGCGGGGTGCGGGGCGTGGATGTGGAGGGAGTTGGAGCTGGGACTCTGCGTCATCCCTTCCGTGTTGTTGCCGGATCCGCCTGAAACACGGGAGCACAAAAAACTGTCAGCTCGTGTATGTAGTCGCCCCGAGAGATCCGCCGGAAACCGTAAGGGGTTACAAAAAGAAAGCCGTCACCTCGGTGCAACCGGCAAGCATGCAGTGAGCAGCCGAAAGGACGTCGCCATCAGTCTGACCGAGCGGCGCCATGGTCGCCGCCAGCTCAAGAGGAGAAGGGTGCGGCTTATTACGTTTGTGCTTCTTGCTTTCATCTTTGCCATTTTTATTGGCGAATGCTACGATTTCGTTGGCTGCAAAGCGATCACGAAACACTAGCGACTCGCTGCCGTACCCTCTGCTTCTCGAGGTGCCGGCGACTACAACTGCTGTCGGGAGTTTCTGGAGGGGCGTGCCCGGAAGGGCAGCCGTTGTTGGCCGACAGTGCAAGGACGAGCCGCGGCGAAGTCGTTATTTGGGCTCTTTGGAAGGAGGAAGCATCTCGGAGCGAGTGAGCTGCCAGCAAAGGGAACGCCAGTCCCATATAGGCCCTGCACCACCCCCTTCCATTTTTTGAGAAGACGGAGATATGGGTACAACTTAAGCTTACAATAATGTTTTCCTCGTTTACTTTCTCAGCGAAAACCTGTCCACATAAATGTCTCGTTTGGTTCTGATAAACTGTCACTGTTCTAGGCATGCCATGTTCACTTTAAGTAGTTGGTAGCTAAAACAAAGAGACACAATTTTCAGATGCTTTTGCTTCTCTTTTCATTTAAGACATGCATGATGTAACTCGGCTTTAGAAACCGGTGTAAAAAGAACAAAATAATTTAATTTGTTGGTGATGGGCCTTTAAGTCGAGTCACAGAATTAGCATCCCTCTGCTATCCGATTAGATCTGTTAGATGCATGGTAAGTGCAAGCAGCTAGCAATGCAGCTTCTACAACACCATTTCTTTTGTTGGCTGTCAATGTGCATACAAAAAAAAAACTGCCAAAGGTCAAATTGTCTGAGCCGGCTTGGGGTTCAATTCAACATCACATTTTCATTGTCAATTGAAACAAGTGCATGAGAGCCTCAACATTTCAACATCACAACCAGAGTTCAGTCTTTCTCATAACCATGTGTGGCTTCCAAGTTGCAACCATTGATGTACCAAACCACACACCATCTTTTCAACAACGTGGTTCTTTGGTTACTTAGTTTGGTCACACTCTTATTCAACACAAAACAGTGCAGGCTTGCACAAACAGCCGCACGACACCAAGAGCCCCGTGCATCTTTCCACAGTGTTGCCGAGCAGCCTTGCATTCGTCGACGTACAGAGCTCGCGAGCGTAGTCCACGTGCAAGACTTGCTCAGACAGCAGGGCCACATATATTGGGGTGTTTTCACGTGCAATGTGTTGTGGAGAAAATGTGCACATATTCCGACCACACACATGCCGCTAGCCAGAGAATTGATCCTAGATTTGGACACTTTGAAAGGAAATGACCACATTGTTACAGGTCGGTCATTTCCTTCCAAGTTTTTTAAAAGAAAGAAGTAAAGTGTTGATTTGACATAAAAATTAAATGTTGCCGGCTTTCACGTATGTATGCTTCACGTACAACTACTCAGTCTGAGTTTTCTAAAGCTTTGGTCTCTTAAAAGGGCGGCAAAATACATATATGTCTATCTTCGACATTGGATAAAGTACTAACGCTGCTTTCCCAACGACGCCTGTTTCTTTTAAGACTGTGCAAGTATAGACATTAGTAACGTTGCAGAAGGCATGAAGTAAAAATTTAATTAGCTTTCTATGCACTATAAGTAGCTGTACTCTTTCATTTTTGCTTCAGCACATAAGCAATCAATTTTATTTCCGTTTGCAGCGGCCATATTGTTGAATTATGAGTCAACACTTCAGAACACCCCACGAGCGACTCAATTAATGTACACGAAATCCTTGTTGGCTTTAAACAAATCCTACAATCTTACCACTGAAAATCAAAATTTTCAGATCAGCCTAGCTCAGAGACTAGCAACAGGAATCTGCAATTTTTCAACTCCACATTCATCCCGATAAAAATAAAAGAATTCCTTTTTTCTTATTTTCACAACACCCACAGCAAATCCTCTTACCACCAAGAGAAATATTTGAAGGCAACATGACGCACCACAGATATATTTCAAAGCAAAGCGGAGTTTTCCTGCAATCAACCACAACGGATTAAGAAAAGCCACATGAATGCATCAATGAGTGGACCAAAGCGTAGCGTGCTGGAGAGCGGTGGCGAGAGCAAGGCGAGAGACCGAGTTGGCCAAGAGCAGAACCATTACCAGTAAGCAGAGTGTCCAAATGCAGAATATGGGATTACAGTAGACTCTCATTAATTGAAACTCCAGGAAGCACCAATTTTTGTTTGAATCATCAGAAGTTTGAATTATCAAAAGTTTGAATTATCAGAAATTCATCTAAATATGATGCAACATAAAATTATGCTTCATTATATAAATGGCTACACATACAAAGCCTGATGATTTCCTCTACACAGGCATGCTAATCATAAACAGGTATGCCACACATGAAACATTGGGGAAATGCATGAGGTAAGTTTATTCATACCTCAAAAATGTTGCCTATCATGGAGCACATGACACCTCATACAAAATGAAGTCTTCTCATCCAGCAAAAAAAGTTGTCTATATTAGCCCCGTTGAGTACGCTTCCTACCAAGCACCGGTACACTGCAGAGAAGCAACACCTGCGAAAGCAAGTTCCGCGGGTGTTGCTCCTCCGCAGCGCACCGGTGCTCGGTAAGGAGCGCGCTCAACTGGGCCGCGAGAACAAGTATATGAATTACATGAAAACATCGTTAGGATTAAGCAGCTTATAAATACATTGAAGCAGGACAAAAAAAATTTTGAAATATGTTTGAATCAGCCAAAAGTTATGAAATATCCGAGTATGAAATATCGCGAGCCTCCTGTATTTCACCCATGAGCTATGGGAGTCCATGAAGCTGTGTTTGAGGGAAAGCTGCATCTCTGAACCAATCAAAACTTAACTTGGAGTATAGATGACAGAGCAGGAAAAAGGTTCTGGACCTATGTAGCTGGCAGTATCGATATACAAACAATTAGTAGTATTTCGAAATTAATACACCCCTTCTGAAATTCAGTCTGCCCACTTCAATAACTATCACCTAAGTGTGAGGCATGAGTGGCAGCTCAACACTGGCCTTTCGGTGGTTGATGAAAGCGAACGGTTAAGGCATGCACAGTAACGGGTAACACAAGGTTTATGAATTCTAGAGGTTAGCCCAATGCGACGCACAAATTGAATACAAGCACTGCGTCTGCACTCATTTCAAGCTTGCGTCTTAACAAATCAGTTGGCACGTGCTCGGCCCACAAGCCCTTTGATATGGCAAACTTTGTCCAGAGCTTTACTGGTGTAAGTGCCTAGTACAGAGTGATAGTTTCTTATCACCAAAACTGAAGCCATTAGAGAAAGAACTGCATGGAGAAGAACAGACGTCCGTCTGCTGTTGATACAGATGTCTGTCTGCTGTTGACTTATGAAAGTGACCGTGCCCAGCAAGATATTAGACTTTTACTGCCATTAGCATGCAGATAGGTAGACAGACTTTTGAGTCCCTAGATACACCGAGCCTGTGAAAGGGTCTATTAGTTATTGCGTAACTTAAGGCGCTCCTCTAAGCTGAGCACTCACACGTGCATTTATCAGTTCACTGCTGAAAGAAGACTGACAGAGTCTAAATCAAATATGCTCAAAAGTATAGACTCATTGAGGAGATCGTAGCGCAGAAATAAGGCTCTCGGCAGCCCTTTGCTTTGGAAAGGTTCTAGGAAACAAATTCAAAACTTGAAAGTGTTTTCACGGGACAGTGCACTACTGCCCAGGCTGTTGGCAGACACTCAAATATATCTATGTATCTATCAGTAAAACCAAAAAGCACTGCTAAAGTCTAAAACTAAGGCAGTACTGAAGCAGTTTCACCACCAATCTCGACGTACCCCCTTCTCCCGTCCACACTCAAGCCCCTCGCCGACTCTCGCCACATCCAAACCAACACAGAAAGGGGAGAAAGCGGAAGCGTCCTTCACCGCCGACACACATTCCTTTTTCCGTTAGACGCGGGGATGCAGGGGTTAGACTTGTTTCCGTGTGCAGCAAGGGCCAGCCAGGCGCGTCTTCGAGGTGCCATTGACAGAAAAAAAAACGACAAACAGGGGACGCCGACAAACGACGACGGCGACGACGCGCCGCCGGCGTTGGGGCCACCTTTACCGGGCAAGGCACAAAGCTGGTCCCTGAGAAACTTGGGCATCCACCACCAGTCGTTGCGGCCGTTACCCTGGCCGCACGGCGCCGCCGAGATGGCCACCGATGTCGGGTCGGGGTTAAGGGACGGACTAGAACCCTTTTCGCCGTGGTCTGAGAAGGCGTTTTCGTATCACACCCAGTAGGAGAGAGAAAGAGAGAGAGAGAGAAAGAAAGATGGGGAGAAAAAAAAACGCGACAGGCAACGCAACATTACGAGTGCACTTGGGCTGCCGCAACCGCATGCGACCGCCACACTGTCTGCGAGGCACCAGGCTACCGAGTCAAGGTCAAGATGCTTGGGGTCAAGGTTGTTTTGGGAATGGGCGGGCTAGTAATTAGGTAGGGCGTTTTATACTGTGTTACAGTAATCAAAAAACTCGTTAGGTGTCTTATATAACAAGATGCACCCCCAAAAGTTCTTTGTTTTACTGTCTGCCCCTAATCAACTGCCTGTTTGTTGATGTCCTTTGTAGTGTCTTTTTTTAATGTCGAGGGAGACGCCAGGCTACAAACAAAACTGATTTACTTCATTTAATATAACGTAAACCTAACAAAAACCTCGTACTCCTTCGTCTTCCTCTATGCACGCCATCAGTCTCTGCCCCGTGTCGCCCCCAGCCTTTTGAGGCTCTTTACCAATGCATACTGCGAGCGGGGATGTGGCACCATCTGGTTTAAATGTCAGACACCACATCCTTGATGATTGATAATCTGTCAAATGATTGCCTGTTGACTAACACTGACTTGCAGTCGACTAGCACCTGGAAACCATCAGTTGTACATCAGTGGTTGTCTACAAATTGGTAATCAGCGACTGAGTAGCACGGTAATGCAAATGAATTTATACCGACTGGCCCATAATTAGTTGACGCAAATTGACTAATCAACGATTAGTAGGTTGGGCAGTTGAAATCGACAAGGTATTTGACTGCTTGACGGTCGAATACATATTGGTTATATGTACTCAGTGACTTACTATTAATTGATTATTTATAGTTTATTGATTGTATGTCGACCACATTTTGTTGACCAGTCAGCTTTGCCCTGTTGACCAAATATAAATACCCCTAATAAGATCATCTATTATCATATAATATTTCTTACTTGGGTTTATAGATTGTCTAACACATCTTGCCGATCCAACACTCTGCCGGTTGGCCAATCCCTGTTGATCGGAATATACACATCCCCATGGGATGAGCCCACATCTAATCTTACAATATTGTCCAATTAGGCCTCCACAGAATGCAATCAACCTTTCAGTGCCAACTCGACCTCAAATCTAATCTCACAATATTTTCCACTTGGGCCTCCACAGAATGCAATCAGCCTTTCAGTGCCAACTCAACCTCAAATCTAATCTCACAATATTTTCCACTTGGGCCTTCACAGAATGCCGTTGACGCCGTAACTCGACCTCGGAGTTCAGCTGAGTTGCACTGGTGCGAGTCCGACAGGAAGCGGGACACAACTCAAAAGCAGACGGGATGGCAGACGCTGGGCACACGGCAGCGGGCGGGGGCACACGGCAGGCTTACTGTGAGTACCGAACATGCTCTTGGAAGAGTTTCGGCCAATGTCGGCCAGGGACCGGATGAGGGGCAGGCGGGAGCCCTTGTCCGTCCGGTGCCGCTCGTGTTGGTGCCGGTGCCGGCGCAGGAGCACCTCCTTCACCCGCTCCAGCTGCTCCCCCGCCGACAGCTGTCCACCGTTCACCATGTTCTCCAGGACCAGATCTGGATGGCGTGTGCAGAAGGATTGAGGAGGGCTCAATGCTTGCCGCAATGCATGGAGGCTGTTCGAGTCGGTTTGAGTACTCGGCGCTTTTAAAGTTATTCTTTAATACAAGCCACGACACCGGTGTTTTCTCATAAAATAAGCATAAAAAAGACTAAGTACTGACCTTGCAAGTGCTAATTTTCTGCTTCTTCGAGTTATTACAAATTGAAGCCATCCACGGCTCACCTCTACAAATGGTGTCTGCATCTGCGTCCCACCATTCCAAAGCGGCCGAAAAGCATGGGGAGATGGCAAACCTTTTACCTTAGGTTTATTACACAAACTCTATATGCGGTTCTCTCTCTTGTGCCCCTTTCTCAGAAAGCACTCCCACTGTGCATGGTTATTTTTATATAAATATATGACTTCCGAGCTCGTTCAAAGCTTAAAGGAGCGGTGCAACGACATTCAATTGGAATGTTTTTCACTTGACACGAGCTTACTGGCACACCTGGGACTCAAGGATACTCACACGCAACGCCACTGGCCAAGAAACTCCTTTGTTGCGGTGTAATTTCAAGGACAAAAGCGATCATTTTCATTCAATCTCTCCTTTGCAAAATTTGATGACGTAACATGGGGATCGCAGTTAACCCATATGACGATATTTGAATGCGGTTCATAGACTGGACCCGAGCATTGCGTGGACACTCGACTTGGGCTCGTGATAATTGCTAGCTCGAGAAGCATTCAGGTAGTGACCCGTGTCCGATCGCTGCAACGACGACAACAGTCGAGCCATAACAATGTCTGGAACTCAACGCGTGTCCTGTGCTTTGCCAACCCCAGCGCGTGGCTATGATCAACACTGGCGGCATATAATCGGCTCCAGATCACGTGGCCGCTTATTCTGGCTGCGAGTTGAGGGGGTGAACGCTGCTCGTTTTTCTTTAATTTTTTTCTGGGACTTCTATTGCGTGGGGTGAAAAACGAACGCGTGTTTCATAGGTCATTAACGTTAGGGATCCGTTTTAAGCGGTATTTGCGCAAAGTACAAAAATTGTTGCATCGCTCCTTTAAGGAATGGGTGTATTATTTGTTATAAAGTATACCTACGACATTAAAAGCATTTCATTGACCACTAATCAAATGAGATCTAACTTTCAGCCGGTCTCCATGCATTCACAAATGGACTTTGAACCACAGTGACGTTTACCAATAGTGACCCGGAGAAGACACTCAAGTTTGCATTACTGCACGGTATACCGCAATATCCCGAGAGACGCCCCACCCCAGAAAAAACTTTTTGGAACGATTTTCTACTTTTTTTAAAACGCCACAAGATAGCCCACTTCTAGAATTACAGGGCCCTGGCCAATGGTGACGTCGGTGGAAATGGTGTCATTTAGCTGCGGCAGGAGACAAGAAAACGTTGCTGACTTTGACGGACAGTCATCTTTGCTTCGTCGCCCCTGGCTGCGATCGCAAGTTTCACAGGCCACAAAATCTTAAACTAGCATTTCTTTAAGACTTTTTTTTATTGCACACCGAAACTTAGTTTACTCCTCATTTTCATCCCATTTGCCTTCGAGTTTAAATGGGCTCTTTCTTGGGACATTACAGTATATCCTTTTAGAAGAATATTAAAGTTGGTCAGAGTTTTGTTTGGCAGTATTATGTATGTGCCAAGTGCGAGCCGGTAACGCCAGGACAGCTCTCATACAATGTGCAAAATCGTGTCTCAGAAGAACCGGACGACGGCAGATATAAGCCGCACTTTTGCGACAAAAACAAACACTGCAAAATGTTTTGGGGAGGGACACCTCGTTGCATATTGCCGCCAAAGCCTGCCATGCACACGAAGTCAGTGATACCAAGTGATACCCACCAGCTATATTCTCGAGACTGGTGGCTTCCATGTCTAGCATGACAGTACTATTGAGGATAAAGCTGCGCAGCTCCATGAGCGCGTGGAGCGAGATTGTGGACACATGTGGCTTGGACCACCGGTCCCCCCCTTCCTCCACATCTTCTTCGAACTTGATCCACCTGGGAGGAAGAGAGCAATATGCTTCACATGGCGATCCCCTACAGTTATGTACGGTGCGAATTCGTCACAAAAGGTCTGGTTATGGCAGATGTTCGGTTACACCGGTGGTTCTCAGTTACTCATGTTTCAGGGGCCCTTTCCAGATCAGAGTAAGGGAAGGGGGAGGAGGGGCAGTATTGAACGATTACAATTACAAAGGCATAGATGAAGTAAATGTGTGCAAACCAACTTTGAAGCTCTGAAAGAAAGAATAATCAGCCCTAGCTTGGCACATGTGGTTTGGTCTATTTAGCTTCGTGGGACAGCCAGCATCGATAAAAAAAAAAATGTTTTATTGCTCCGCTCGATTAGCAGGTGAGGGCATCCCGAACCCCAAGAAAGCCTTAGGGACTCCCGACGGTTCGTGGACCCCCCTTTAAGAACCACTGGATTATATGCCATGCCCATTTGCGAAGTTTGGTTTGACCTTCTGTCTATGCCGCTGAGCCAACTTAGCTTATTATAGGCTCTGTTATAACTAGGGTTCCGTGATTTCAGATAAATCCGAAAAACTTGGAAGAACACTTGCCGGTGAAAATTTCGCCAATTCGGATTTATCCGGAAAACTCTGAATTTCAAGGTCAGGACAGTTCTGGGCGCTTTAATTGAACCGACGACGTACACTGACCCCGCGTAAGACGCGAAGACGGACGGCGACTTACCTGGCGGCTTCTCTCCACTCCATCTCCTCTCCCTCCGCACACAATATCTCCATCTCGCTGAAGAGAGGGTGTGCCTCGTGGAGTCCATCTTCCTCCTCCCCCAGGATGAAGTGGACCCGCTCCGCCGGAGGGGTCACTGGAAAGACGGCGGCAGAACGCTCGTCATTACGGTGAAACGGACGTCCCGGGAACCATTTTGGATAGCGTGCTAAGCTTCAATGTCTGCTCTCAAGCTTGACGGCAGCATATTCGCGAGTGTTTTGGGTCACATTTTTGGCGGAATTTTTAAACTCGCATAGTGACGGGCTTGCAGGAGCATGGGTGTGGGTTTTCACCGTTGCACACACTGCAAAACACCGGGGAAGTGCCCACCCTATATTTAATTACAATTACTTTGCTTCAAACATAGTTTAATTACAATTACTACTATGTAAAAAGTAATTAATTGCAATTACAAATTATTTTTAAAAAGTAATGCAATTACTTTACAATTACATATTTCTGAGAGCGACCCGACTTGGGCCATTAACTTTAAACGAGTTGTATAGAATGCAACATATTCATTCATTGCTTGCCCCAATGTTTGAGGAGGCTTAAGCATCGCTGCGTAAATGCCACATATTGTACTTTCCTTTTATGAATTTTGTTATATTCATGATAGAACTTGACAGTTTGGGACAATGAAGTAGTACATACGTATATTTTTAATAAATAATAATAAATTAGTTAATATGCTGGAAGACGCCAGATCGTTAAAGAAAAAATTGGGTTGACAGACTTTTGTTAGCTAGGCAAATAAAAATGTAACTATTAGTAATATATGAATATTTTCGCAAGTGTTAGTATAAAACTCAAATCCACACGCGCTAATACGACCTCATTCACAAACGAACATCATGGTATTGTAAATTATTTACAATGAGTTGAAACTATAATGGCTCAGATTTATATAGGAACCAAATCGGGGCTTCCGAATCATTGCTGACAATATTCACAGGTGCGAGGTCAGTCTCCAAAATGCTTATGCAAATAATATCTGAACTAAAACCTACAGGAAATAAACTTGAAAATACAAAGATACAAATATGCGACAGTACTGGAAGACGGACATAAAAAACTGGCATAAAAGAAAAAAAAACAACTTCATAGACAATTAAAATTCCCAACCTCGGCTGAAAGCTCAAGCTCAATTTTTTCCCTTCAATATTTTGGCATGCGCTATTGTTTTCTGCTCGCATTACAGATGGCGCTACGCGGCGCCGTTCAGGTAGGCTTCAAAAAGGATTGTCTCTCAGCCCACAGTGTAAGCAAAAAAACAACTATGTGACACTATTTTTGTTGTGCATATATGCGTGAGTGCGTGTCTTTGTGCAAATGTTTCACCGAGAGCTAGGCCGCTTGTGCGAGCGCTGAGGCCTTTAGAAAGATTCCGTCGGTGCCACAAAGTTTTGCAAAAGTAATTGTAATTGTGCCTGAAATTTTGCATTTAGTGACGCTAGAAAGTAACTAAATTACAATTACAATTCCTTTTAGCCAAAAGTAATTCATCACAATTACAAATTACCAAGAAAAGTAATTAAATTACAGTGATTCAATTAATGTAATTGAACTACTACCCACAGAATTCCCAAGTTTGGGAAACATTAATAGTGACTACTTGTATGAAGTGGGTGCTTTCGCGGTATTTTACGGCATTCTGGCAGAACACCATGTGGGCACACATTTTCTAATTTAATCTATTCCAATTTTCTTATTTATCTTTGTATGGCAAGAAAGATTATTATCACCATCATCATAATAACTGAATGATTCTGAACTTCCGCAAAACAAGTCGCGATAATAAGTTGTGCAAACCCTGATGAAACATACCACCAGAATTGTTCAGAATATCAAAACTGGTGCAAAGGTTCATTCGCACACCTGCATGTGAGTGCAACCGACTGCGTCACAACGAGACGTTTGCCATGACAACCAAGGTCCGCACAACACATCGTAGTGGAATGCAATGAGCCGTCACACTCAGACACAATTGTCTCAACCAGCCCTAACGATACAATGATGACATTGTTACTAATAGCTCACCTTTAGTATGTCAATGTTGGCCAGAACAAACATTGCACTAAATCCAATCAAAGCACAATTTGCAAAGAAATCGAGTCATCGTCAAACACCACTACAAGTCCTTGTCCCAATGTCGCCCCCCAAAAAAACAAAAAACCAGAAATATGATCACGCTCGACCTCGGAGCAAGAAGAACATTTGTCACCGTGACAACCGAGAGAACTGGGAAAGAGAAAAAACGGAAGTGACGAAGGGCGAGGGGGAAATTTCGTCTATTTCGGCGACGCATCTCCCACCGCCGGCAGGAGCTTAAATCGTGATGGATGACCCCATTCAGAGTCGCCCCCTCAACTCCGCACGGAGCTCAGGAGTCTTCCCCAATCATTCCGAGAATTCCTCGGTCCTTTGTTTGCCAAGACGACTTGGTTGCGCGAGAGACAGAGAGGGGCCAGGGACGCACTGGCGTCACTTGCTCTTCGTTGCCGTCTCTGCGTCGTCTCTGTGCAGCACTAATCCAGACCCTTAAGGCTGGTTCGCAGATTTGAGTTGGAGTGCGCTCGAGTGAGTTGCATTTTCTCGTAATGACTGAACGCACTGGCACGCTTTTCTTATTTGTCGGGTATTTGTATCTTCATACCTGCCAAGCTCCAAGAAAACAAATCCGGAAGATTTTCTAAAACGAGGAGGGGGAGGAAATATTGACAAGAAATTTACATGAAGATAACTTCATTATATTTGTATTTCACTGCCCATGCTAATGAAATACAGGGGTCTTCGCTATCATTGCTGCCGTCTGTTGCTACGGCAAAAACTCCTTGCTTAACAGCGGGGAAGTGGGGGAGGGGAGGGGGTGGGAAGTGGGCAGTTTGCCTTTTTCGGAACATTTTCTTGCCAATTGTATGACTGTACGAAATGGTCAAAATTCAGGAGTCTCTCGTGTAATACTAAAGCCTCTCTATCCTGGGAAAAGTGGGACCATTCTTTGAACTAGCTGCCACACAAACTATTGGCCAGTCATCACGTGACATCCTGCTTTCGGTTTTGGACTTCCGGCAGCCATTACTTTCCCAAACTGTTGCTACGCCGCAGCTAATCCGCTGCTGTGCCTGGGGAAAAGTAGGCCAGAGAGCTTTTTAGTGTTCCCTCTGCAACGGAAAATGAACCTCAAAGGTGATCTTGAATTCACCGAATCGGTCGAAAAGATTTCAACCCAACGGGAGCTGCAAAGTTATGCGATCTAGGTGCTCTGTATAGGTGGTATTCACTGAGCCTGTAGGTTCGATTATGCCAGGGAGCGCCACCGTCGATCCACCATCTTCGAGGTTGTGGTGGGACTGACCTGGGTATGCGGTCGTCCGTTGGTAGTGTGTGTTAATTTTATATCGTTGAAGAAGCTTCGTTGAACAGAAGAGACAAAAGAAAATTATCATAGGGGTGGCTCATTTTAAGTTTTTTGCTGCCGCCGAGTACCGCGTGTAAAGGCCGAACTGCGTGTAAGCAATTTAGCGAGCGACAAGATGAGCGATGGCGAAAGCGACGAGTCGGCAATGAGCAACGGAGAGCTCTCAAGGCTGAACCGCATGTAAGCGATTTAGCAAATGGCCAGACGAATGTGTTTAATATGCCGTAGGACGAAGAAGAAAAGGCCTAGGCTGGGATGAGGAAAAAGTAAAAGTCAGTTGTTAGTCAGCGGTGTGAATGTCCAGTCCTTTCCTTCGTGTTCTTGTTTTTTCCATGTTCAGCTGACCTGATTGCCAACAGAATGTACCAACTAGCTCAACTAAAACCCGTAAAGAGGGACGCTAGAGACAAAAAGAAGTGCAACTAGCAAAACAGAACAAAAATTTTTCAGCCTTTCCACCCTGGTGAAGAAGGAAGACCAGCGAAGTTGTACTATGGTCAGACGACTTCAAGGACGACTTCTTGGACGACCTCAAGGACGACGCCTAAGGACGACGTCTAGGACGACGCCTAAGGACGACGTCTAGGACGACCTCAAGGACGATTTCTAGGACGATTTCTAGGACGACCTCAAGGATGACTTCTAAGACGACCTCAAGGATGACTTCTAAGACGGCCTCAAGGATGACTTCTAAGACGACCTCGAGGACGATGCCTAGAGGACGACCTCAGGGATGACATCTAGACGACCTCAAGGACGACTTCTAGGACGATTTCGAAAACAACATTTAGGACGACCTCAAGGACGACTTGTGGGACGACCTCGAGGACGACCTCAAGAATGACTTTTAGGACGACCTCGAGGAAAACCTCTTGGACGACATCAAGGACGACGTCTAGGACGACCTCAAGGACAACTCCTAGGTTGACCTCGAGGACAACCTCTTGGACAACGTCAAGGACGACCTCAAGGACGACTTCTAGGACGACATCTAGGACGACCTTGAGGACAACATCTAGGACAACGCCTAGAGAAATTCAGTGAAAACCAGAGTGGAAAGGCTGGAAAGGTTGTCGCCATCTATGAGCAAGGCCGGCAAGCCGACTGTCTGGTTGCCACCGTCGCTCCTGGATGGCGGTAGCTGTCCAGAGTTTTGTGTTGACATTTCTTTGCGGGGAGCACGATCCTGGGGAAACTAGCCCTAACAGCTCCATTGTAAAAGTAATCAGACCGTGCTACAAAAGCACCAAAGGAGAAAAATCACAGTTCTTGCGCAAGAGCTGCCACCATGGGCACGGCGCGCAAGAACAACATGATCGCAATGGATAAGTCCGCTAGCGACAAAAATGAACTAACGACGCACAAAAAATGTTCTTATTGCACTTTAAAAGCAAAAAATAACCACTAGTTGCGCCAAAAAAGACCCTTTAAAGTTGTAAAATGCTGCTAAACCACACTGAAAGGTCCGGCTAGATGACGGCCAACAGCCACGTGGGTAGAAAGAGACCTCGAGAATGGCGACCGTAGTGGTTGATGCCAGTGCCCTTAGCGAGTGACATCAAGTGAATGTCACCTATAAAGCTCACCAGAATGCAAAAAGACAGCTGTTTAGAGCGAGTTATGCACTAAATTCCATCATAAGTGCGAGCGATGTAACAGCGAGCACAACACTACTGATTTGGCATGCAAAGACGCCCGTGCCATGGAAATAAGTGTCGTTCAAAACGGCCTGCTCCTGCTTGTGCTTAAGAGCATCGGCGTCGCTCCCACTATAGGTGTGTGCAGAGGTGCAGAGTATGCTTGTTCGTCAAGGGTTGCGTACGTGCTTGCGTACTATGCTTTGTTTCGCATGAAGTTCATGACTTGCAACGCTCTCGAAGCTGTGGAAGCGAGCATGTGGATGTATCTATACCTTGTTTCAACATAAGTGCGAGCAAAGTCAGTGCAACAAGCACGAGTATGCTTCCTCTCCACACATATAAACAGAAGTAATGAATCATCTGAAACCGTGAAGAATATATTTGCAATTCGGCGGTTTGATATGATGATTAAAAACGACTTGTGATTCCTGTGAAGCCGAAGGGGCGAACAGGCACTCACGAGACACTAGCTGACCGATAATGCAACTCGGTAGAGACGATTATCCCAGGCACTTTTGGGATCCACGGTTGGACGAACAGATCTAAAATGGCTTCAGGGTGGTCAGATGTGGATGCGGGCTCTAAATGAGATCATTGCCACACTTATGTGACGAGAAAAGTCCAGTTGACCAGCATCGCGCTGCTTGAGCTGACCGAGACTTTAAGGCACTTGGGAACATCCAGAGGCGCCTCCATCGCAAACCGGAAGTTAGAGGTGGGGTAAGCATATATTATTCCATACAGAACCTACATATATATTTTTATAACTTTTTACGAATCATTCTTTCGTTGTGGGCTTGAAATAGTTCCGCCAGTGTTGCCCCGTAAAATCCCGAGCAAGCGCCCACTCAAAGTTTGGAAATAGCCGTGTAAAACTGGGAGATGAACACTCCTTAGGTCAACATTATGTAAAGATATGTCCTTTGTGTATTTTCCGAATGCTACAAAATTTGAGGGGCGGGCACTTATTGTGGAATGGGCGGATGCTCGGTGTTCTACATGCATACATTGTCAATTCTAGCATAGCTTCTGAACGAGATGCAAAACAAAGCCACATGCTCTCGCACCAGTGCTGGGCTGCGGCACCGTGGAAGTTGTGCCACCCTCGATGACGTAGCAAAAAACAGTTGGCTCCAGGCACTTATACCCAGATTTAAATGGTCCTAAGGCTACCTACCTAACAGACAGCACAAGTGTGACAGTGTGTTTAAAACCCCTCGATGTGTTTGCATTTGTCAGTAAGTAGCGTCAAATGCGCCAATGCACGAGGCCCGTGCTTCGCGCGGCCGTTGGAAGCAAGTGGCGGCAGAGCACTCGCTCATGGCACATGTCTCACGTGTTCTCTATAACAATGGTTGTCGGTACTTGAGAGAAACGCGAAGCATTAATTTTATTAAAGTGCTTTAAGTGTGCTCTCGTCGTAAGCTGTCCCAAGTGGTCTAGCACAATCGATCACAGTCAAACTCAACCACGTGAATCCTCTGCCATATGAACGAGAGAAAGGGCTTTAAGAGGTGTTGATGCCATTGCTTCCTTTTTGTGTATGTGCATAAACAATAGGGTGAAAATGCGCTGGTCCTTCTAAAAGAAGGATCCCTACCCTTGGAAAAAAATATCACGGGGCGTGGCAGCAAAAGGTATAGTCCTCCAAAGCCCGCTTGCAGGATAAACGCGTCGCTTGCGATGAGGAATTTTGCGAGCCTGCCAAGAAGTGCCCCGAGGAATGAGTTTCGAGGAATGAATTTGAGTTGAGCGCAATTGGTTGCCGCCTGAGCGCAACGTTCGGTGGTCCAAAGTGGGGTCTCACCCGAGCGGTGGTTGCCATCGCCGGCGGCACCAGTGCCGTCCTTCTTGGCAGCGTGGCCGTTCTTGTGGTGATGTCTGTGGTGCCTCCGATGTCCTCGACGATGGTAACCCGGTACGTGGAGCCCCACATACACTGTGTGTGCACGGTGGCCTGAAACAGACACACACCCCGACGACACTTCAATATCTGCTCATAGTCAAATATGGGTGTTTTATGCACAAGAACAATGAAGGGTATATCTGGCACGTCCTGCAGTGAAGGACTAATAATTAGTTTTAACCACCTGAGGATCTTCCGAGAAGAAGGCGCCGTGTAACTGAAAGCTTGATTGCACGGCGCTTTCTTCGCAGAGAATCCTCTTTCACGATATAGAGTGGGCAATTATGGTGGCCCGACACGAAAAAACAAAGTTATTTTTTTCCAGGTGGAAATGAGCGCACTTGTTCATTATGCGATTAATGTCATCCTGCAAACTCCTACAGCCATTCAACACGCTTAGTGAACAACAAGCTATACCATCCTCAGTATACAGACATATACTAGGAGAAATGTTAACAACTTGATTAATAAATATTTTTCAACAAAGCAGCCCCAATACAAGGTCCTCATAAGGAATTCCAGAGCAATGATTTGCCTTTAACTACTAATGCCGCTTGGCTTATTTAGTTTGCCAGCAATGAAATGATGTTACAGACTATACTAGAGGAGACTTTAGGCCTTTAGGCAGAATAACCCAAGTAGCATCCAATGTCGTGCGAACATTCCCTGGGTGTTCTGAATGTTGAAGGAACGTTAAAACACCATTTGGAACGTTCTAGGAACGTTCGTATGCGAACATTCCTTACAAGGTAAGCTGCTCAACATTCTAGAAACGTTTGTTGGCGAACATTCATATGCACAATGTTCTCGGAACGTGCCCCTTTGAACATTCACATGTGCAACATTCTTGGAACGTTCGCTTGCGAACATTCCTAGAATTTTCGCAGGTGAAGCCAACTTTACGGAGCTTTCAAGCAACCTGTGTTTCGAAACACCATCCACTATATGCCACGTTGTGCCAAAAATATGCCAATTAAGTGGAGGTTTTGGAAACTTAGCATAAGGGATCAGTTTTATCTTATACGAGTCTACCGAGGAATGTGAGATAAGGTGTAGGAGAAAAGCAATGGTCTTCAAAATTTGATAATGAGCTTGGCACTCACTGCGTATGTAGAGGGGCAGTTTTGAATAGACCCGATTTTTAGCATCTCCGATTTAATACCTTGAAAAAGGTATGTCCCGCTTGAGTGTGGGATGCTGTAGGTATCTGTTCTTATGCTCGGTGTGAGTAATCGGTATGCAGCACGTTTTGATAAGTAGGAGTAAACTGCCGTAATAGTACAGGCTCTGGCTAATGCGCTGGAAAAGCAGCTACATTGTGCTAGGCCTGGAAAAAATATATTTCGATTAAAAAATATTGATCTCTCTGTGAGGAGATATTATATCAATATATGTAGTACGGCTCAGTGGGGCTGTAAGCTAAGCAAGCCATAATTGTGGACACTTAGTAAACATTCCCCAGAGAATGTTGCAGATGTTCTTTGAATGTTTTGGGAACGTTCTTAAAACATTGTTAGAATGGTGATTAAATGTTCGGTCGTGCTCAGAACGTTCTAAAAATATACCCTAGAAAACATTCCCCGAATGTAGCGATAAGTGCCTCCGCCACATTCTGACAACGTCGATAGAATGTTCTTACGTAAATTTGCAACATTCAGAGAATGTTGCAGAAGTTCTTTGGATGTACTGAGAACGTTCTTAGAACCTTGTGAGGATGTTTCAATGTTGATTGAATGACCTGGTAATGTTCTATGTCGTTCTCAGAACGTTCCAAGAATATCCCTTTGAAGACATTCCCCGAATGTAGCGATAAGTGCCTGCGCCACATTCTGACAACGTTGATAGAATGTTCTTACATAAATCTTAAACATTCCAAGAATGTTGTCTATGTTATTTTGAACATTCCCGGAATGTTCTCAGAATGTTCTCGTGCTACGTGGGAACTTTGTGTGGCACAAGACTGATGGCTCTTTAGAAACCGCGAAAGGCATAATTTTTCTGGGCGCTTAATTGTAAGAGGACACCGGGTCATAATGCCGAGCTCTTTGCAACGTTACATTTCTTCTCTCCATCTTTTTCTTTCTGATTTACAGAGCTGTCTGCTGTATTTGGTTTCTAAACCTTGGGAGAATATGGGTGCAGAACTATAAGGTTATTAACATGCAACCTCTAAATTTTCGTGGCACAATGAAATAATTCTTGGGTAAAAGTTGACTCCCAATGAGTCTGTGAATAAAACATTTTTGTAGTGCAAGTAAATAGTGCAATACTCCTGTCCTTAGACAAGAGTGTCCGAAAGTAATACACGCCAACGATTATGATGACGTGGCACAATGTTAGGACTAAACAGCCTGCACCTCCAGGAACCTGCAATCTTTTGTAACATTACGAAATAACGACGATAAAGAAAAAAATGTGCTCTATAAACTCGTGTGAGCTTCACTGGCCTATATACAGGGTGCTGTCGAGCGCTGTTGGCGCGTAAAAAAATTTTCATAAATATGCCAACCGTCCGTAAACCGTAGAACAAAATCTTGAAAGCTTTTTCGAGATGGGCACTTGAAAGTAGGTCCAACAGATGCAAGCATGTAGTATGTGCAGTTGTCTATAGCTAGCAGCATCAACTAGGCACTCTGTTTCTCTTTTCTTCCCTGTAAACAGGAATAACAGGATTCTTTTTTTTCCAGAAACCTACACTGAAGAAATCTGAGCACTATAACATCCCGAAAAATGGCCCACCTAAAATCAAGAGCTAATCGGGTGAAAATGAGAGGTAAACCAAGTTTCAATGTACGATAGTAATTTTTTTTTCATTTTATGAGCTACTTTTGTGTTTTGTGACTTTCCAAACTTGCTAACACATGGAAACGACCATACTTCCAGTCAGCAAAGTTCACTCAACTTCGGCTGTAGCAATCTAACCCCATTTCGGCTGAGGTCACCATTGGCCCGGGCATTGCAATTACTAGAAGTGGACTATCTTTCGGTGTTCTTGGAAAAAAAAAAAAAAATAGTAAACTACGCCAAAAATAGGGGTGGGCTATCTCTCCGGATATTACGAGCATTAAAAATGCGCCACCTAGAGACGCCTTTCTGAAAAGTTTCAATGCCCTCCGTTCATTGGCATATTTATACCGATTTCTTTACAGCAGAATAGTACTCAGGAACACATGTACAAAACTTGCAAGGTTGGTGCCAAAAGCCAATTCCCCTTTAATTTTTAGCATTTATTCAACGAGGCTTCTGGTTTATCCACTGGTGGTTTGAATCTTGCACACAGTGCTGTTAATGAAAATCGAGACGGGTTCAAGGTGGCGCACTGACAGGTGTTAACGTTCCCACGGTTTGTGTATGCGTACCTTCAAAGTCTTTGTCCGTGTAACTAGGGTGAGACGTGAGGGCCCCAGGATCCTTTGGCGCCTCATCCTGGTTTCCGGTCTCCATCTTTTTCGGCTTTTGCCACGGTCTGCACAACAAACGGGGGAGAAGGAAATGAGACACTGGGCTACAAACGTCCCATGAACTTGCACAGAATGTCCACAAAACACCGGATGGGGTGGGGGTCACGAGGGCATTTGCAGAACCACGTGAGCTGCTGGGGGGGGGGGCTTACAAAACGATTTTGGGTCGCAAGACATACGACAACTCAAGGTGTGCTGAAGGTAAGCCCTTGGCACCTCTCAGCCTAATTGGGTAGAAAGATGGTGCAACAAACATAAAACTCGAACCGAGACTCTAATAGACGGTTCCAACGTTACAGGACCCAAGGTGATTTTTTGGTTTGCACAAAGTTAGCTGAAATGCTCTAAAGTGGCCTGGTTCAGACAGCACATCCTGTCCACCGAATAAATGTTTGGGTTGTGCTACATCACCAGAGCATTGGCTGTCTGTTAGAATATGTAAGGTGACCTTTTCTGGTTCAAAACTTCACTTGTGAGCAAAGACTGGGCAGGTCCCAAAGCATTGGGATCTTTGAGTAAAGATTTGGTTAGAGTTTCATATTTGTTGCATAACTAAATGACTTTGCCATGGATGTCCTTGTGAAATTTCACCTAAAAAGTTAGAGTTCAACAGTTTGGAAAGTGCTTTATTATTTCATAATTTTTCCACAGCTATTCACAATATTTTTGATAATCATTTCACAAAACAAATTGGAGATGGGGGTAGTGGCATAGCCAGGGTGGGAGCTGCTTTATTATTTCATAATTTTTCCACAGCTATTCACAATGTTTATGATAATCATTTCACAAAACAAATTGGAGATGGGGGCAGTGGCATAGCCAGGGTGGGAGCTTACAAGGCTTTAGTCTCCCCTACCCCCCCACCCCCCCTCCAAAAAAAAAAAAAGAAAAAAATCCAGTTTCCAGTTGATTTTATAATACTATACAAATGTGCTTTGAACCCTGCCCCCACCTAAAATACAAATTCCTGGCTATGCCACTGGATAGGGGCTTCTACGTTTTGCAAAGTAACTTTCTATGACTCAAAAACGTTGCTTTAAAATTAATGTGGCAATTCAATAAGATTGATAAGATTCCGTCAAGAAGACTGAAAAGTACTTTTTCAAAGCTAAAAGTCTAGAATAATGTCTCCAACCAAATTTCTTCTCGGAGTAATCTGTGAAAATGAAACGGGCAGTTTGAATCAGAATGCTAATTCACCATCTCAGTTTAGCTGAAAATTTCTGCTTCAATAGAAACATTGACATTCACAGCATTGCGAAAGATGGTAGCCAAACAAAACCTTCCAGCAAAACTGGGGTTCAGGTCGAAAAGGTTTAAACTTTACAGTCAAGCTGAGCCTTCTGTTAATGCTGGACTTTTAACCGATTTGAGATCATTCTTTAAGTAAGGCAAACCTGAGCCTAGTGCCAGCCAAACTGAGAAATTAACGAAACCTAAATTTTCGAGCCAAATTATATAATAATAATAAGAAATTTTATTCACATCATAAACATAATACATATGCAGGCCCGCAAAAGCACTGGTATGCTTGTATGCGGGACCTGGCGTCCAGCGGGCTGCTACACTGAAATCCTCCTATTGTGTGCATTACTGGCACACATAAAATAAATACATAAATAAATGAATAAAAATCAGACAAGAAGAAAAGAGACAAAACTCAGTGGACTGCTAAAGCAATAAAGCCAAATTACATTTCAAAATTCAAACACCACTCTTTTAAATCATATTTGACTTGTTTCAGTGACTCCATGTTATAATAGGTGTCTGGAAGCCTATTAAAATAAAATGGGACGTAATATGCCCGTGTTTTTTTTCCATAGTTTGTATAAATCTTAGGAATAACAAAACATTCTTTGCGCCTAAGTGTTCGTTCTTTTTCTAATACGATTTTAAAGTTGCTTTTATAATAGTGCTTTACTAAAATAACATAACAATGTAGTTTCTCTATGGATAACAAATTTAAGACATTCATTTTCCTATTAATTTCCAACTCAGAGTAGGGTGTTCCATAGGTAATATTAATTGCAATTTTATGTAGTATTTTGTCAAGTTTTTCTTTTTTATAATTAGAACACACTCCATATAAAGAAATCCCATATCGGAGAATAGACTCACCCAGTGCACCATACACCCTCCTTCGTAATGACAATGTCACTACACTACGCATCTTATACAAATAAACCGAGACAACACGCATTCTTTTGATGAGATATTCTACATGCTCATTCCATAGGAGATGTTGGTCGAGATGTAATCCTAAATATTTAGTTGTTGTAACATAATCTAATGCTACACAACTGCACCGTGTGCAGTTCTGTGAATGGAGAAATAACGGAGTGCTAAGATGTAAATGTTTATACGGACTACGAAAACATATTAGTTTTGTCTTACTGGGATTAACAAAAATATGATTAACAGAAAACCAGCTCATTATTATTTCAATATCTTTCTGAAAAATGGACAATGCACTTTGTTCATCACTGTGCCCTAATATCAAGGCAGTATCGTCTGCATACTGATACAGACGGGATGTACACGGTAGAGTTCCAATTTGGTTTACATAAATATTAAATAAAAGGGGTCCCAGTACCAGTGTTGCCAGGTCTACTGATTTATCAGTAGATCTACTGATTTCGTTCCGGGTCTACTGATTCACTGAAATAAATGAAAATCTACTGACTTTTTTTAGTAAACATATTGAAATTTATTATTTGGCCCCTTTAGTTCCAAGTGTCGCCCATCAAAGGAAAGTCATATTCTCCCAGAATTGAAGCCCTGGCTCTATGGCCCAGAAGCAAGGAGGATAGAAGGGTAGAAGAGGGCGTGACGTCGGCCGCGTAGCCTCCACAAGCCATGCTCCCTTGACGCCTCGCCTCTTTCTCATTTTTCTCCTTACTCTCCTCACTTCTCAGGCGAACGTGACCACGTCACGTGACCGTAGCTAGCCTTCGTCTAGGTATGGTGTACTAAAGAATACACCACAGCCTAGCCTTTGATCTGATAAAACCTACCGGACGGAGCGCGCGCAAGCCTGCAAGGGATCCTCCTACAATCAACCATCCATCTCGCACGTGACATGTCACGCGCACCAATCGCCAGAGAGATCTGCGGTCACGCTGGGCACAAAATCGTTTAAACATTTTATGACTGGGCTTCACCAATATTGCAACGTGCCCCCTCCTAGTACTTCTAACCTCCTTGCCCAGAAGCCTGTCGACGGTGACATCCGGGCCAGAGCCATATATTGGAAGAGTTTGGCCAGTCTATGACTTCACCGCCGTAACGTCCCTCTTCCGAGTGAGCCAGTCAGCCCGTTGCGCAGAGCGAGAGGTGTGAGAGCATGAGCCTGAAGCAAATACTCCTGAATTTCTTGCTGCTCCGAGCTGAGAGGATCCCATTCATTCGCCCGGCGGAATGCATGGGATCGACATCCAAATTTCAGTTCTTTACTTTTATTTGGAAGGCTCTGAAAAGGAAATTATATAATGTTATTCCTCAGTGGCTTAAAAAACTAACGAGTTAAGTTTCTCCACGTTTGAACGCAAACTTTGGATCAGGTGAAAATCGAGTAATTCACGTATAGCTAACTAAAGTTTACCTGTTTTATGAAGGATAAAAATAGAATGGCACAATACATTTTTTTTTATCAGCATTGATTAGTGTTGCGATTTCGTGGATTAATGTTTGAAATCGGGACTGAGCCGCTTTTGGGATCAACAGATGAGTGCGACAGTGCGACATCCACCTGCCGCTATTATTGAAACGAAACCAAAACAAGACGTTCCGGCAAGTGCACGCGTACATGTCCAATGGAAGTCCTGCAAGGTGCCATCTTTCCTTAATGGGGTGTGGAAGGTTTTTGACGGAATGCTGTTGGCGCGGAGCACTGTTGAGGCTATGCGTCGTCTGCTACAGGCTTATTTCTTTTTCGGTCTTTTTTCATTTTTATTTGTGTATATTACCATGGTATTTATTACTCTATACTATTTCTTCGAAGTGTGGTTTAATGAAAATAGCAAAACATGACAAAACACAGATTTCGTAGGATCTACTGATTTTCGTGCAAATCTACTGACTTTTTGGGGATCAATCTGCTGACTTTTTTTTTCTCCGTCTGGCAACGCTGCCCAGTACCGACCCCTGAAGTACTCCCGAGTTAAGTGATGTTAATCTACTTTTAAACTTGTCAATTTTGACCAACTGATATCTGTCTGTAATATAGTCTCTCAAGAACGCGTTAAAAAGACCTCTAAAACCCATATCCCTTAGTTTTATTAATAGTCGCTCATGATCAATAGTTTCGAAAGCTTTAGTTAAATCTAAAAATAGGGCTAAAACAAATTGATTCTTATCAAGACTGTAGTTTACATAGTCTAAAAGATCTTCCAGCAAAAGTTCAGTGCTTCTATTTTTACGGAATCCATACTGAGACTCGTTTATTAAACAGAACTTCTCGCAATATGATGTCATTGTGTTAAAGACAAATTTTTCCATAATTTGCGCTATGATTGGCAATATTGAAATGGGTCTATAATTCATAACTTCGTTTTTACTGCCATTTTTATATAATGGTCTAACAACAGCTGTTTTTAATTCAATAGGAACTTTCCCTGACGAGAGTGACTCGTTTACTATTTTTATTATAACGTCTTTTAATACCTCAAAATTATTCTGAATGTCCCTTAATCGAATGGAGTCATTCCCCGTAGGTTTGGACGCTTTCATGTTGTTTATTATGCATCTAAAATCTACCTCTGTCATCTGAGGCAAATAAGCTGAGTGCACACTATTCTCGTAGCTATTTGATTCTTCTTCTTGATTTTGTAGTAATTTTCTCAGATCCACAATTCTTTTAACAAAAAAATCGTTAAATTGGTTACATAAAGAACTGATATTGTTACTGCCAAAAGCTTTTTTAATTGTTTCATCTATATTTTGTTTCCCTTTACTTCCCGTAATTTCCTTTATCCAATCCCAAGTTTTCTTCGGATTTCCCTCGCAT